AAAAAAAAAAAAAAACTATGTACTAACAAAGTATGCCAAGCTTTGGTAAAACATATGTTATGTGCTGCCAAGGTGTACCGGAATCTTGATATGTTAGAGAAGAATTCACGCCAAGTGAAAAGACCTGGAGCAGAAAAATAAAATACTATTAGGAATTAATCGCGAAAGGATTAAATATGATGAGATTTAGTAAAACTAAACTGGCATTTATAACATTAAATTCTTCGCTTACATATTGAACACTTACACCAGATTAAAGGATCGTCCATGTTACTACGATGATTTGACACAGTGATCAACGGTCTCGACTTATTTTCCAGAGCAGACAGAAGCCTACTTTTGTTAATGACTGATATTCGATTCAAGTCTGAAGTTATACATTCAAGAAATTTGGCATCAGTTAACAGCAGAACAAGACCATTCGGGGAAAATGTGCAATGTAACAGGAAATCACAGCTAACATTGCTAGATTGAATCTCGGACAATCCAAAAGCATAGGTAGAAACATACTTAATGAGAAGACGAGTTTGCACGCTGAGAGGACTGCGATGAGAGTAGCGTTCGAAGCAAATCTATATAAGGCATTGGGATTCCTTGGGAAGGGCCACTGGAACTGATATCCATATGATTTGCCCATTCTCCTGATAACATTTCCAGTGCCTGAAAATGAAGTAAAATACTCTGCATCCTCATAACTTCGTGTACATCTAGAAAAGAACCCAGGAAGAAGTTCTGGAGAACAGAAATCCTTGTCCTAACTGTGCAAGCAGAAGCTCTTTTGAATGTTCTGTTAAGGAGACGCGTGGCACACCTATTCTGCTAATGGTTGTTTTGCTCATTTTGACTTTTGATGTTTTGGAGGTTATACTAAAGGAAGGCTTTCTTTTTTGTCTGCAGAAAATTAAGTGATTCGGAAGGGTGAAGGCTTCCTAACTAAAGTTATCCATCGATGATTCATAATCTTAGCTTCCTTGATCTTTTGTTTTCAGGATGTTGTTAGTTATCTAGTGGAAATTCTTTATTAGAGGGGTTATTTCACAACCAGCAATCCAAGAAAAGTGCTTGAGGTGATGACGGCGGAACAGTGTACTATTTCGGAATTACTGCGTGAAGCTGATTTGCTGTGGTATGTTTACCTTTGTTTGCTTCTAATCTTGTTAATTGCAAGCAATAAAATTCATGAATGGAGAGCATGAAATAAAAGAATCATTGGCAAAGATATTCGTGCTTTTTATACCAATTAAAGTAGACCAGTCTCAGACTTAGCTAAATGAAATTAGAGGCAAATAAGTTAAACTTGAATTAAACTCATCGAATTTATGCTGACTAATCATGGGGCGTTTTAAAGTTTTGAAATAATATATTAGCTGAATATTATCTGTGAATTGCCGAAAACTCTATATGATTTCAAAAAAATTTGCTTTCATGCAGACGTTAAATGAGAGAGAGTGAAAAAAAGTAATGGAAAGTGCGGATCTAATGCACTGTTGGGAATGATAGAACTGATGTGAATTCAAGCACCTCTTTCAAAAAAGAATATATGTAAATATGGTGTAGATAATCTCGGTTAAATTATTTCAGTTATGAACATTCTATGCGAACAGTTCTGAGGTTGCGTAATGCAGCCGATATGAGTTTTGTGGATGAGAAAGACCTGAACAAAATTGGTATGAGCAGACCGGAACAGAAACGTTTGCAAGCGGTTTACTACCGGAGATTTTCCAAGTCTTCGATTATGGGAAGGCTACGAAGGAAGATCCTTGGCAAAGGCATAAATTCCGTTCACATATTGTCTCATTCACTTTTCGCTCGCCAATTATTGACGAGTTCCTATTAGTTGAACAGTTATGATATTCTCTCAGTGGTACTCAGAACTGATTCTCGGTATAATCATAAGTTGGAATTCCAGGTCACTTTGTGTTTCTTTAATGTGTTTCAATAAGACGAAAAAGTATCTATGTTGAATATTTTTTTATAGGTAATTTGAAGAAAAAAGAACAACATTCATCGAGTTATCAAGAACAGCATGTGATACCTCTAGAAAATATTACGTTATCCAAACAGTTGGGGAAAGGCGAATTCGGATCTGTTTATCAAGCCGCTTGGAATAATTCAAGTAACATTGAACAAATACAGGTATGCATGGTTTTATAACCATTGAATTTCAGTCACGAAGATCAGTAAGTCAGTCATGTGGCAGCATATAATGTGTCACTTTAGATTCACGTCGCACGCAGCCATTTATAAACCGTTTAAAGAGATCCAGAGTGCAGGAACTCTTTTGCTTCAGCCGCTTTCGATTACGAAATTTAAATGCTTCCGACAAAGACAGCGGCTGCTTTAACATGCAAAGCCTAATGACTTAAATCATTGTTGCAGGTAGCAGTAAAATGTATTTCGCCTGAAAAATTATTTGCCACTCCACTTAATTTTTTACAAGAAGTCGCAGTGTTGCACAAAATGCGTCATGAATGTGTTGTTAGACTTTATGGCGTAGTACTGGATACGAAAGCAGTCATGCTGGTTGGTTTTTGGTTAGAGAAATGCATCTGCTTCTTCACAATAAATGTATTCACCTAGAAAGGCAACACATTTTTAGTAGTTTTTCTTTTGTTTGTTTTTATTTCTCTTTTAATTGCTTTTTATTTTTCTGTTTTTAAACTACTTCTAAAGTGTATAAATCAGCATCTTTTTGAGTTACTTCAGTTACATTCGTGCAGGTATCTGAATTGGCACCTTGTGGATCATTACTGGAGTGTCTTCAAAAACCCTCTCTACGTGGCACATTCTTTGTGGATACATTTTGTAAATTTTCGATACAGATCGCACAGGGTATGAAATATCTGTCCGATGAAAGACTTATTCATCGCGATCTTGCAGCACGCAATGTTCTTGTTTTTTCTGTTGAAAGAGTAAGTGGACATTTTTTTCATTGTAATTACATGAATAGATTATGGAAGAGTAATTCTTTCATCATCTCTATCTCCCAGAAAGTGAAGGCTGTAAACGTATTTAGAAAGTGAAAATAAGATAATGTAGAACAAGATGAGAGGAACAATAATAAAACATATTGATACATTTATTGAAGAAAATTTCATGTCAAATTCCATAACTAATTGCAGGTAAAAATTTCGGATTTTGGATTAAGCCGTTCGTTGGGCATGGGTGAAGATTATTATCGAAGCGAGTTTTCAGAAGCAGTAAAACTACCGATCGCATGGTGTGCTCCTGAAGCCATCAATTTCCTGAAGTTTACTTCTGCCAGTGACGTTTGGTCATATGGAGTGACATTATTTGAAATATTTTCTTTCGGTCAAATGCCTTGGGCTGGTTTTACCGGTGCGCAGGTTATTTTCGTTCCGTCTTTCATTGATATTAAATCTTCTTCCAATAACATGCAACTTTTGGAGTATTCTGTCTACAGTAAGTCCTTCGTTCGTATTGTTTTAGTACTTTTTGGTTTCTCCACCATAATTTTTTTTCTTCAGCGTATTACTTTTCTAGATATTAGCAGCAATAGACTATCCAAATCTACAAAGACTGGAATGTCCAGACGCATGCCCGACTGAATTTTATGACCTCATGATGCAGTGCTGGGCCCACAAGCCGGAAGAGCGTCCTTCTTTTACAGACATTGTACGACAGCTTCCAGAAATCATGCCTCAGTGTTTGGTTACTGTGGCATCTTGTTGTGATGGAATCATTGACCATCTTCAGTATTCAAAAAATGAAACCATAATTGTCCTTGATAAGTGGTTAGCACTCTTTATTTTTTTAGTTAAATAGTGACTTTTTAGTTTGTATTTTTAGTTAAATAGTGATTTCTCCATGCATTTGTTATGCGACTGAATTTTTAACAAAATATCAAAGTATCTAGAGTGATCGCTCCAGTCCGACTTAATTCTTCTTTCATTCCAGCTAAAAATTCTAATGATTTAAATTGGATTTCAGTCCTCCGACATATCCAGATGGCTATTTTTGGCGTGGATACATGCGAAATGGTCGGACAGGTTTATTTAGACCCGAAGAAACTGTTGCAAAGCTTGCCATTGAATTGCCGAACAGCAAGTGCGATCAATATTTGTCATCAGTTTCCTTTTTAGCACATTCAAAAATATTTTCTCATGAAAAAGTGCAAAACAAAAATAGCCGCAAGAAGTTGTTAATAAGTGAGCCTCAAGGTGATGTCCACCACACTTGCCATGTTGGAGTTGATGGAACGGCCTTTGGATTATTACAGGTAAATGTTAATTCCGTAAAACTGTCCCTTCAGCTGGTTTCAAATACATGCATCCTAAGTCGGATTCAGTGTTTAATAATATATTCACACTACTAAAACAAAGTCATCAGTTATATAAATTAATCAAAATTTGAATTTCAACTTATTTTGTTAGTTTTCCAGTTCGGTAAAAACGACATATCATTAAAATCCTCTACGGCAACTCATTGACATCTTCGAATCCATATCATGCTATGGGTGTTTTCATCAAACATGTTTATATTTCGACATTAAATTCTAAATGTATGAATTTAAGAATGATTTTCTAGATCTGCTATCTCTTTCAAAACATTATTGCTCGTAGGAATTGTTGTTTTACATCTAATAAGAGGTAATGTTTTAAAAAACAAATATATCCGATTAACAGCGAATGACTGGCTGATAACGGGTACTGTGTAGTTATTAAGTAGCCTTTCAATACGGAACTAATTTTTGATTGATTCTCACAGAATTCGTGACGTTGTATGTACATCATTTCCAAAACTTCTCAACTTTAGATTTATATATTTAACCTCCAGTTCCGGTAATTTTCTTCAAATTTTATCCATCACAGGTGCAAATGTGTTTTTTACTATTGTTCTGTTCTAGCTTCGGCATATCTGATCGTTGCATAAAAATATATTTATGATTTGATATCTGTAAATCCCCAATCAATTCAGTCGGGAAACATTCTATTAAAATGTGGAGTACAGGTGATAAATATATGGTTGATATTTAATCACGATAAGGATGTCATTCAGAAACTGAAGGACTTCATGAGCATGAGCAAAAAATGCATCACCAAGTGTCCAGACAAGTAAAGCATTAACCCTTAGTCGAACTGGGATCCTTCCGATATTGAAGTTAATTGGCAGTAATAAATTAGATCATTAAAAAAAAAGTGACACTTGACGGAAATCATTCCACATGGATAAAAACCCATCGAGTAGAATAGAATTGTTCCGATATGAAAAGCCGGAGAAAGTGATGCTCGATTGACTTCGTGGTCATTACTCTCGGACATCGATCGGGTCGACCATCATGTAGATTATTGTATGGCAATACATAAGTGAATAACTTATTTCGAATTAATGGTGCGCAATCAAATATCAAGAGCGGATCAAATTTTAAACCTGATTCAGATCTCTTTGGGGAACGTAGTAGATAGCAGAGCTGACTTGCAGATTCTATTGCAATGGAAAGTGCCTCTTGATTTTTACAATTAGCGACTTGACATTACAAAGCATTTGTTTGACTGCGTTTCTTTAGTTACCTCTTAATAGCGATCTACTTGGAGTGAACCGGAATGTTAAAATCCAATTAGCAATCATATCGGTATTAGCCGTGATCCATACACAATTCTTGCTTTAAAAAGTGGGCACCTAGAAAAGTCTGAAGTATATAACACCTACTTACTAAAAGAATATCTGGTGAATTACTATGTGCTCCTTCTGACAGTATACATACAATTGCCAATAAAATGTTCATAATAAATGGGAGTGAATATATTCATTAGATGAAAAAAAGAATGTAATTTGAGCACTTACATAGAAAATTATTGATTATTTGCATCAGAGAAAATGGATGGAGCAGTCATCCCATCATTTATCATTTCTCTCCTCTGGATGAGAACAGAAACATAAGACATCATAAAAAATAGCGCTTATTAATAGCAAGTGAAATTTCAAGGACAGACAGTTCTATATTGTCTAGATCCAATATACCAAAGGCAAGAATTGTACTTTTTGAGCAAAATTAACTAACTGTCCATGAGCAGTAAAAAGCCTATGAGAACGTTTTGTTTATCATTACCGAAACTCCTGTCGTGCAAATAATGATGCGGAAATGCTGACAAGATGGAAAATAAACGGAAAGATGAGATAGATGATAAAGATATTTTCGCAAATAAGCACCAGCGAACATCTGAAATTCAAAAGTGCGAAGTAGGCACCCCTATCTTCATGCTATAATATGCTTAACACATTCCAAGATGACGAGCATACATCAAAACTAAGTTCATTTGTAACTAAATATTAGCAGATGCCTTCCGAAACAGTTTTTTGCCAGTTAAATACCATTGCCAGTGAAAAAAGTGTGCAACTATCTCGAAGTTTAAGCAATCCCACTCAAAAGTTCAGGGTTAACAGTTTAGTTAGACACCGTTCAAAGACTATGGACATTAAAGAACTCACACCATGATCCTCAGAATTAACAATTTTAATTTTCTAACTGAAGAATAGTTCACCATTATAAATTACTGTTTATGTCCTCCGGAAATTAACAAAACTGAACACTTAATTTGAAAGTTATGTCAAGAACATTGAACCTCATTCTTTACGTATATTTCGTTCACCAATTATGACCTTCTTTCTATCTTAAATTTCATATCTTTTCATATATTGAAGTCCAAATTATAATGATCTCTTTCGTTTCCATAGAGTTGCAACAAAAATTAAAAAGTTAGGTACCTAGACATGGATGTTCAGAGTATCAACTTGCAATCAAACACCAAAATTCTCTGTATGTTTCTAAAGAAAGCAGATGACTGCTCTTTTATTTAGAAAAGGAACTGAGCAATCAAATATATATGCTTAGAACATGTTATACTGAAAAATATACTACCTTAAATCATCATCAATATTTGCAAAAAATAGAAATGTTCGCAGAACATGAAAGTTCACTATATTTTAATCGGTGACATCAAAGCCCTACCCCATCAGCATCAGCTATTATGCCAGTTCCACTCAACGGATATCAGTAAGATAAACAACAAAGAAGAATTTCGCCCTTCACATAAGCCACAAACTTTTAAATAGGTTATCGAGAATTTGAAGGAAGGAAAGTTTGTACTGAATCAATAAGCACATAAAAAACCCATTTTTCTCCTCTACTTTCTTAAAATGCACTACGTTTCAAACAGATAGTGGTTATCGAAGTGTCGATAAATTCTATAAAAAAATTAAAATGCGTATGGCATTCAAATATTATGAATTAATTCCATACTGCAGCATAAACAGGAAAAAAAGAGTGCATAACAAATGAAAATTTTCACATATACAATGAGAGCATCAATATGATGTTTACAAATTACACAGACAACTTTACAGCGGTATGAAACAAAATAAAGTGAAATGAGTTGAGTAAAAAAGAACAAATAAGCAGGAGAACTACCATCACTGAAAAACCTGACTTGTAACACCATAATAATTAATAGAGAAATGAAATCTGCAAAAATTAATTATAACGCACTGATGAGAAGCAAACTCATTTAAAATTAGTTGTTTTTATTACTTGGCTGTGACTCGTTTTACAATAATTTCCACAGGATTGCTTGCGGCTTTCAGTAAATCAACAATGGCACCTGGTGTACAATTACTTACTAACTGCCCATTGACTTTCCAAATTTTATCACCGATATGCAGTGTTCCATCAATATCCGCAGCACTACCACTGCTGATCATTCGGATGTAAATTCCTAAAATATTTCAAAAACTAGAATGATAGCAACTAGTCAATGGAATACAGCCAAATATGATTCAGCTCTCGATTTCTAGATCTCTTTCGGAAACAATACACGATCAGCGTGAAATTGTGACATCTCCAAAATTTCGTGTAGTGAATAACAGAACACTACTGATATTCTTGGAATAAACTATATCAACAAAGTGTTTTATTTTAAAATTGAAAAATTTTTAAAACAATCCATGGTTCATAAAGCATTAAATCCTTCATAAAAGTGTTTGTAAAATTGGACAAATGAGGACCTTCTCTATTCAAGAATAAAAACGAGTAGAAATTGTATCCATGACAAATAAAATAAATCAAAAATTATGGAATCAGAAATTAACGAGTATCAAAATCGGCAACATACCATCCATACCAGTCTTCTTTGCTAAGCTGAGACCAAGCGAACCCGTATGAGACTTCTCCAGAACAACTCGTACAGTCTGTTCGCCTTCGTCACAAGTACTTATTTCTTTGTCTGAGTTTTGTAAGCCTATTACCACTTTGTCACCACCCTTTCTTAACAGATCCACCAATTGTTGATGCATTAGATTTTGCACCTTCTCATGATTTACCTGCAAAAATATTTCAATCAATAAATTATTTCCAATCTGCCCCAACTTCATGACTATACGTTTAGAACTCTTCGTATACGAAATCTTAAGCATTTGAAAAAAAAAGGTAGTGGAAACAGAAAACCCAGAGCTCGCGTTGGTACATTTAAAACAAACCAATATAATCTTGTCTCCCACTCGAATATCGGGACACGAAAGTGCAGGCTCTGCAGTAATTTGTTTTACATATACAACACCTCCGCTAGATGCAATTTGAAAACCAAGACTACCAGATCCATTACGCTCGAGAGTAACTATCGAAATATCGGATGGTAACGGTTCCACAATATCATCCAGATCATCGGCCCAATCAAGATTTGGCTTCTTTCTACAAGTAATAGAGCTATATAAAATTACTTTCATTCCATAATTTCCTGAAAATACAAGGCGAATTTCTCCAAATACCTGCAATCCTGCACTGATTTCCAGTCGTTGCACGGACTTCTTTGCTGGTCAGCGTCACTCTTCCCCATTTTCAACCAGTCATTTTCATTTGTCTTAAATGGAAAATATGGTGTTGCACTGGTTCGTTCTGGAGAATGCTCTACCAATTCATCATCAACATTTTCGAACTTGTACATGGATACCACTGGCACGTCGAATCCCGTTCCACAATCAGCCTCATCGTTCAACGAAGTCTCTAGCCGTAAATATCTAGAAATCACAACAATCGTCAGCACAGATAACAAACTGACGAAATAAAGAAATGCTACAGAAATTGATAGCTCTATATTCTTAAAATATACCAAGTAGTTGCATTTCGAGTATTGCTACCGCCTCATTTTAGACGGTTCGCAATATGTTTTTTAAAGCCTTCTCTTATTGTGAAGTGACAAAGAAGTTAACTGCACTCTACAGACCGTTGAAATATTGAATTAGCTTAATATTTTTAGAATACAAATCTTTTTTTCTGCCGCTCATAACAGAAGGCTGAATATTTCGCATAACAGTTATTACGAAAAAAAAAGGAACAAGTCAATAATAAACGAACGAATATAATCCTCGGATCAAAAATATTTTACCATAGTGACAACCTGACAACTCTCTTTTTTGTTCCGAAAATAGAGCAGCAATTGCCACCTCAATATTCGGCCACTTACATAAGCATCCATTTTTCTAATAACAATGAAAGATACAGGAACTTACCCCAACTTCGATTCACTTCTAAGGTTTGATAATAAATCTTCGCTATTCAAATCGGGTAAAGTATCACCAACAGCGCCAAAGTCACTAATAGCTCTTGTGCGTTTCTTCAGAATATTTGAATACTTTCTCGGCGGTGGCGGCGTTCTTGATCGCAGTCCTATAAAATATGACTTATGATATTGAAAACATATATTCCAGATTCTGATTCAATCACTGAAAAAGACTAACCTTCACTAACAGACAGTGAATGATTTTTATATCCTTTCTGATCGTAGGTCACTGTTTTATCCTTAATAATGCCAGAAGCAAGTGCGGATGTTATCGCTTCTAACCTTAAAATATTGAATTTTACTACAAAATCTGTGAGATAATCCTGCCATGAAAAACGATGGAAACCCAATCAATAAAAGGACTTCCGAAAGTTATAAAATGTTCTGAAATACTTCTTAATATCAAGTGTTATGTCTGACGAAAATCTTATGGTACTGAACTGGTTAGCGTCAATCGTTAGGGAATGCGAAAGGTTTCCTTCAATTTGTCCAACTTAGTCGAAAAAATATTGATGGACTGTAAAACAATGGAGAGAGTATAAAATATTAGGTCGATAGATTTTTATTGAATAGGAAAATAAAGTTCAATAACTTTTTCAGCAAAGGCACATTTTGTGAATTTATTGCTGCCATTAACACGAAGGTATCACCGTGCAAACAGATAATTGTATTTATTCATTATCTGTAATCTCGGGAACAAAGAATAAGAAATGATAGAATGCATCTACCAATCTTGTCACCCATAAAACAGTAAAAGAGAACAACTGCTGCTTTCTGCAAACAGACAAGTACGTGGTTCAAATGAAAGGCCAAAAGGAGATATACTACCTCATGCCGTTACGCGCATCACACCGAAAATTCATACTTCAAGATTACGTAAAAAAATTAACCTACCTAAAAATCTTCAAATGGACAAAATTGCCACACTTTTTCACTAGATCGACAGTTACATGCCTATCCTTACCAATAAGTGACACATCATTGACACTTAGTAATCGATCACCAACATTCACTCCCTAAATTTTTAAAATTCTTTTTCAAACTAAATCAAAACTTGATATAAAACCACATATAAAAATTTTAGAAAACAACTAACTCCTTTTTTCCCGACGCCTCCTTCAGATACAGACTTCACATACACACCTTTTACACCGTTCAGATTACCATCAACCAATGTTAAACCAAGCCCACTATTTGGATCTTTTTCCAGCAAAATTTCCAAAGTATATCCATCACCATTCTCAATGAATTCTTCAGAAGAAATCTCTTCCAAAACTCGACCACCTAGGTGAACAGCATTTCAATTTAATAAAAATTTTGATGTCTTAAAAATTTCTAATCCAAAGTAATCAGTGAGTATGATAACAGCCTCACTATTTGATTCCGTCTCCACTAATAAAAAATAACCGTGGGGCTTAAAAATTAAACACGCTACTTCTTGAACTAGCTCTCGGTTTGAAGCTAGAATCATATACAGTCTCTATATATTTCTTTGATAAGCTACCGCTTGAGGTATATTGATTACTGCTTTCAGTAAAACTTGGTTCCGGTATGTTTGCTTTGTCAGAGGCATTCATATAATATACTGACGGTACCTGCAAACAATAGATTAAACTGACAATTATCTTTTTAAAACAGCCATTTAATAGGGTTTATAAAATACTCATAAATTTAACACATTAGGTAATTCCTACTAATATAAAGGAATCGACTAGTTTTGTTACAACACAGTCACATTATATTAGCTTTAAAATTAATAAAAAAAGAAAACTTCTAGTACAATGTACGACAACGTAATAAAATACGAAATGAGACACACTTTAAACTACACTACTATTGAACAAACGATATTCACCCCTGTAGTGTTAGACTTACTATGGTAATAATAAGTCTAACTGACAGTGAATTGATATGAGCTCAAATGAACCATTTGATGGTTCTTTTGGCTATGCTACAACATGCATTTAGAAAACTTTGACCATGCTCAATAATTTACGAAGATTAATACAATTAGAACCTCTTCCATAAAATTAATGTCCGCACCAACATCCGGCATTCTACGGAACTGGAAAGGGCTATCACGCCTTAAAGTATGATTCCACTGTCGCATTTTTATCATAAAGCGATGCTGTGAAGCCGCAAAACGGACAAAATAGGCACTTCTGGAAAAAAATTGTGAACCACACTGACATACAATACTGCACAGAGTTAAGAAAACAGTAATGCTACGAAGCAAAGCATTTTTCACAACCTAGTAAAACATAAATGCATGCTATACAAAACGAACTTTCCATGCATACTTTGTATAATGATCGGTATAGAAGACATTGGTGGATGGTTCGTGGATTTCGGAGGCAATCACAAAGCGCTTCTTATCAAACTGTAAAGTTTGCGTATTTTGCCAAAGATGTTCTATCTGAGCATGCCGGCCACCACTACAAAGCAAATATCGAGTTTGAAATAATACAGGAAATCAGTAAAAAATATTTCCAATGTTTTCATTATTTGAGGTTCAAAAAGTCAATGAAAACCTTTCTTCTTCGAAAAGTACAATACCACGTGTCATAATCCCAATCCACTGCGCCACGCCAGTTTCAGGATCACCAAGCGGTGTATTACCAAGATTTATCGATGGTTTGGATGCAAAAACACGATGCAAATGAGCACCATAATCAGGTAGCCGCTGACACAGCTGAAAAATAGAACGAAAGAAATTTATTGCTTCAGCACGAATGTCCGAAGAAATTCTGCGAGCTTAACCAACAACATTTAAGTGGCTTAATATTGAATAAACCCACAAATTTTTAAAGAAAACAAATTACTTATGCTACTAGCATTGATTTAAATTGATATTGCTTTTTAGTAGCGGCTCTGCTGGACAATTCACCAGTCACTACAGGTGAAAAAAAATTTTGCGTATTCTGGAATGTTTACACCTAAGTGTTGAAATATGAAATCAAAAAAATCCAACTAGCTCATCCTTCATCATAAAACAGTCGATGCAGCTTATGAAGTACCGAGAAATGTTATAAAAACACTGATTCAAACTTTGCATTGTACTTCGAAATAATATAATTCTTCAGGAATTAAATATACTCACTAGAATAAAACGCTTTTCAGCATCCTGTTGTTTCATTCCGCGGTATCGTCCATGCTTTTCGATTACATCTTTGATTACCGCTTTTTCATTGTAGTTATCCAAATACCTCTAAAACGCACTATAATTGCTGTTCAAACACATGCTAATATGAAGTAATCTGTAGGTCATCAAAAAAGTAAAATACATGTCCCTGATTATTTAACCTCTCCTGGTCTTCCATTTAATTCTTTTACCAGTACATTTATTTCTCTATTTATAGTCATCGGATTTCAAAACAATTTTTTATTATTATTAATTGACCAGTTATACTTGTTTGTAGAAAAAGATTACAAACAAGTGGAAGTATTAACAAATGATAATTCAACAATAGTTCAAGGTTTAAAAAGTCACGGGGTGAAAGATTCAATAAGTTTTTTTTTCGATTCGGTCTTCTTAAAGTGGTAAAATACAGATGCCGAAAATAGATGAATAAAACCAAAACAAAGGTGCCGATAATAAATTTTTAATTCAGAAGAATTAAAATATGACCTTCGGTATATAGTGTTGCAGATCAAAGTAGTCAGAGACTGTTACATTAGGTTGATCAGAATATTCACTTTGCAAAGCAAATGCAGCTAAATCATACAATAAATCACGTTTTGGTTGAATGCGATCATCCAAGATGTCTCGCCGCAGTTGTAAGTACAACTCATGAAGTACAACTTCAGTTCTGAAATGGTGTACAGCAAATATTAGCTTGCCAAATGACGTTTAGCATAAAAATAGTATAATCTGACATGAAAAGCTTCATTTCAAATTTTAATACAACACACATTTTGAGAAAGTATAACGACATTATGAAAAACTTAGCGCCTTTTTTAGCAACAGGGAAGCCTCTAAAAATAAGAACAAATGAGAAAAACAGAAAAGACCGAGAAACACATGCACAATGACAAAAGAAAATTTCCTTCGCACTACAGCTTAAAATGGAATAACTTGCTACATTATGAAAACAAACCGTATGAAGGCGATTGATGCTGGATAATATCGAAAGCGCAGAAATAACATATAAAGTCTTTTAGATGAACCATATTGTCTTGCAATTTTCCAACCTGGTGGTGCGAATTTTTCCAGACGTTGATGACCGTCCAAAAAGAAATGCTCGCCATCTACAAAACTAACAGAAATTTGATATGCAGAACAATTTCACTCTTGCAGTGGTAGGTAAAATAAATATTACATATACGGCGGATTACAATATTTCGATTTCACGATAATCCCCTAAACATCTGTGAAGACAACAATAAATTATCAGTAGCCTTTTGGTACGTTTTAATTAAGAAATTTAAAAAAGCATATTTGACTGAAACGAAGTTCACAAAGATTACCATCCGATTTCTTGTAATATGACATTCAATTATAAAGCCATTTGCAGTAGCTACCAGACAATTAAATGATGAAACCGCCAAATAACAGCTAACAAATACAAAATGAATTTAAACATACCCCGAAGTATAGTTAAACCAAAGAACGAGTTCTCACTAAAATTCATGTGCCTCATGACAACATCAGCAATTTCTGACGCAACAGCATCCGAACGACAGCTCACTTCAACATGCTTTCCACTAAGCAGCTCAACAGTAACGTCCGTATGTTCTATCCTGTGTAGCGTCACCTTTTTCTGCAAAAAAAAATAAGCAGTATGGATTCAGTCACTCTTTCAATAAATATAAATAAACACATCTTTATTTAATACAAAATCGCTTCACTAGTAAATAATTGATGCAGATAATTCCATGATGAAGAATGATAAAGTATGAAGTGATTGCTGCAAAACAACGAGTTTTCCTAAATCCACACGATGGGTACAACATGCAATATAGCAATAATTACTAAAAAATTGGAACTGTATAAGACTATGTCTGCATAAAACAACAATGACTTTTCTTTGAGCAGGTGCTTTCAAACATATGGATGATGCGTTCGCATTTCTAACAAATTCTGGCTCCACTTTCAACTGAAATTAAACATATAAGAATACAATGTTTTGAAAAAATTCGAAGTAACACGTTAAAAAATGTTTTCGTTCAAAAAAGACGTGCGCGGTAGCACTAACATTAAATTTTTATTTGTCACAAAAAATTTTCAGCAGTCTTATGCAGTGTGTCCTTCAACAGTAAGGTCAACAGCGCTATATACAAACTCCGTAAAAAAGATATATGACACTAGCTAACAAATTAGGAGTTCAATATCCTGCATTAAATAAACTGTCACTGGCAACGAATTACAAATATCAAAAAGCCCCGTCTCTCGTTCACCATAATATATCAAATTAAGAATATAGTACGCTCTTACTCTTCGTTTAAAATGTTTCGATGAAGGTTTTCGCCCACTTATCCTACTTGGTAGAAGCGAATTTCGTCTCATAAACTGTTGCTCTAAAAATAATTCAGAAATACAAAAGCCAACTTTAGACATCGATCAAAGTAAGATTTTTCAAGCATTAATAAATATTGCAACAAAGTTTTACCATGATTCACCACAATAACACCATCAGTACTTTGCAACGAACAAGAAAAATCAAAACCTCATAAATATTACCACTTAATAGCAAAAAACTAAAACAGAATCAATAATTAGTTCAAAAAAAATATCAAGAATAAGTAACCAACCAGCTGCGATTGAAATACTGGAAGTTTCTTTTGCGGCTATAAATCCTTTTACCCTAGATTCCGAATCTGCCGATGGCAGTTCTTTTCCATTTTCCTGCATTGGAGTGAGTTCAGATGTGTTTTTCAAAGAATCTTTCTTTTCAGAATTTTATGAAAATAACTAACTTTTTTCGACAATATAACCTCCGGGACGTCCTCATTTTTATTATTGGCCAGTGACTTACTGTCAGATTCTTCGACTGAACCTTGTCTATCAGCAATCTACAACAGTTATTAGAATGATTTTATGCATATATAATAGAAGAGCTAACTAGACAAAATAGCAGTGATAACGGATTAGTTCATTTCTATAAATCATATGGAAGTCATCGAGCAGACAAGGAATATTAAAATAAAAGGGAAAATCGTGAAACTATATCGAACTTACATTTTGGTGATCTGAAGGCAGAATTGAAGATGCAATCATTTTTTGTCCTTTGTCAACCTAAAAAGTGTCCAATAAAATTAATATGAATGTGTGACCACGTACATCTCTTTGCAGCACAATTTACAAATATTTCTCATCCATGTTCTTAAATAATTTAGACGACAAAAAGTGTTAATTTCTCACTCACCTCCGAAATAGGCGACAGAGAAGATAGAGAGCTATTGCTATCGTGGATAATGTTGGTAGAAAAAGGTTTATGACCATTATAATCCAAAATTTCGCTCACCTTAAATGTGAACTTAATTCGAATATTTAAAATGATACCAACCTGATCTCGTTTTTTTATTTTAAACAATAAGCTATAGAATTATGCAAATTCACAATGGTCATACTTTCAGTGACAGTGTCTCACTACTTTACATATAACTTCATAAGGAAGTAGATATCCAATAAGTATACTTCAATATACGAAATTAAGATCTAACATTAGTTGTGAAGTGGTAATCAATATCCCTATTAATGTGATCATAGTTATAAATCTAACCTTTTCAATATGTTCTGTACCTACAGTCGATGGTATGAAAGTTAATTCATCGGCAGAAATATTTTCTTCTCTGTATTCCACAATATCATCATCGTACGAAAGAGATTTCGTTGGTAAACTGCTTTCAAACATTGATTTTCCGTCATCTTCATTTTGTTCTAAAAGCACCTCAATTTTACCTTTAGACAATTTTCGTTGTTTCTGTTCTTCCAGTTGACTGTATTCCTGCAAACGGATATCATAAATTTTAAATGACAATATGACGTATTAAAATTGTATTGTATCCGTTCTCTTGACGTAGAAAGCTATAGCCACACCTCATCAGTTAAGTGGGCGCAACTTTATGTTCCAAAAAAAAAAAATTTCGGATGGGATGAGGTTCTCCCGGCAACTCTTATGTTCATTTACTTCATCTTGTACAGATGTTTCATATCCATTTCAACTAATCTGAATAAAAAATCAAGAAAAACATTACTTGGAGAATTCAAATTAAAAAAGCATGATTTTAAACCTAAACCTAGAATGAAACCATGAAATGATTTATAAATCGGTACCACCCACTTACTTTAAAAGATAGCCCTCTTATTAGATAAGACAAAAAAACTAACATTTACATCTTTTACTTCTGGCGACATTTTTTCGCATGAGACTGCTACTGAATTAAATGGATTTTTTTCGGACAACCTCCGAACATCTTCTGCACCATCAAATGAATCTGCTTGCGTCATTTTTTTCGATCGACTACAGGTACCGCTCTGAAATAAATCGTCATAGCATTCACAGTCTCCTAAAACTAATTTAGACAACATAATGTTTTCGTAATGCATCATCACTCAACGATCCGGGAAGATTTCCATGTAACATACATTTTCATTTTTCAGTTTTCAGTTATTGCCCAAAATATAATCAAGATCTCATTTAAAAATAAATAGTTGTTATCTAGGATTACGAAACCTTGCTCGTTCCAGCTTCGTCCCATTTTAAGTTCTTCAAACCACCATTTTCATCAAGCGAATTTGGTATATATTCACCAGAAGAAACGTCCAACTAAAATAAGTAATAAATAAGCAACATCACAGCAAACAGCACACTAACGTGAACAATGCATGTACTTTTTTCGTATGTATGAATAACTTGAAGACTAGTGCATGCATTTTTACTCATATGAGGTTCAAAAAGCACTGCTTTAATTCAGTCTCCTGTTCGATTGGTGATTAAAAGACTTTTCTAAGTGTATTAATTTTGCTTCCGGAAAAATATTACACTACAACCTAAAGATTAACGTCACTTACATCATCTATATCCTCCGGTTCGTCACCCATAACTAGGATATACATTTCTGCCAACAACGCCTTTGGATTTTGAATTGTAAGCTTATTTTTAGCCATTTGCCCAAGGCTAGAAAAACAAAAGAGATCACATTTCTCGTGCAAATAAAAAAATGTGGTAGAATTTACATCACTTCTCGAAAGGAAAAAATAAAAAAATGAAAACTTGTTGCTTTCAAGTAAGAGATAATTTAAGTTTAAAAAAATAAGAAGGGTATTAGTTATTATAATACTTTAATTGTTTTATAATTCTCCAGAAAATATACCATCATTACCACAGAAAAAATTATAAGCATTAGTTCCTGCCAAAACATGGGCAACGTAATAGCCTTAAAGCGTAAAAAGTAAGGTTACAGTATCACAAGGATTACTGAAACAACAAACAAACCGAGTGATGGACGGACGTGTGGCAATATGAGCTACTGTCATTATGTTTAATAAGGAAAACAAGTCTGCATTGCCTGATTCAGCTGCACCAGCAAATCGAATAACTTCTCCGAGGCAATATACATGCACAGCACCTAAATATTGATAGAAATTAGTAAGACAAGATTTATCGAACAGTTAGTTCGCATATGAAAAACGACCCATATTATGTTATTTCGGAATAAATAGTATGGAATATTTACGTAAGGATTTAATAAATTTTGAGTATTTCATAAAATTATAAATCATTCACAAACAAATCCAAGACTTTTCAGCTGCATTTTTTGCAATTTCCGTTAAGGTTTTTCAGTTGATGCAAATAGTAAAGAATGAAATATTTTATTTTACATTTTTTTAAATATGTTACACATAAAAAAGTTAGTAATGACGTCATACAATTGTGATCTAATAAAGATTGACATAAAAATATTAAAATCTGAAGACGGCTTAAGTCTGTACTTTTTATCAAATTCTTCGCTTAGCAAAGAATTTTTAGTTAGAAAACATATATATATGCATGCAACTGATACCTGGATCAACATCAGTATTGCCTTCTTGCATTTCAGGGGGTACATACTGGTTGTCTACTTTATCTCTTGAAACAGATTTTATCTGAAAAACCGTCCAGCACAATCAGCAAAGGACGTGAAATGGACCAGGGTGCTTGAATATTGTACTATATAATTTCGTCCGACTGTAATTTTTGACTTATCAATCATAAGTGGACGGATTTTGAAAATTTCTGAAAAAGCTTAATAGTTCTCGAATATTTTTTGTACACGTTCCCTGAATAATTTTCGAAGCTCATGGAAATACTGAGCAGACCAAATGCAAACCTCAAGTTCACCATCGGTGTGCAAAATCACGTGTTCAGGAGAGAATACTCCTGCAGGTGTTTTAGTAAGCACTTCACAGCCAATGATAATTAATGCAAGCAATTCATCATCATTTAGACCACATCCACGTACTTCGATTATTTCTGACAATGATACGCCCACGTCAACCATTAAATTTCTGGAAAAATACTCTATAATTGCTATTTTATAGGATCCCGTCGCGGATTTTGCAGATATTTATAAATTTTCTGGATATTTCCATGGATTAATTCCCTTCCATGAAATGATGATCACTTTTCTCCTCGTTTATAGCCATTTTTCTACAATCTCTTCATCGCTAGACAAATTTGCTGTGAATTTAACAGAACAATAACAGATATAAGGACAACGAAGCAAATGATACGTAAGAACTGCCTGGCAATTCAGCCTTTTCGCTCGAAATTATATTTACACAGCCGTGCCACTATCTGCAACTGCAAGATTCTCAAGCATTTTGACAACCCATTCTTCTCTAAGGAAGATTTAATCACAATGATACTTTGCAGTGTTACTCATATATGCAAATTTTATTAGATTCGCTCTTAATTAATTAAATAAGTGATAATGTAATTTATAGTAACGTATACAATGACAAAGAATAATCTGTGATAACATTTGCAATGGCCGAAGTAACCCCCCGAAACAATTAAGCTTGGCATGCTTACAGGAAACGTTTGAAACAAGTAATTAGTTTCCAAACTTACGTTAGATTATGTAAATCGATGACCTCATATAGTGCAATTTCGAGAAAAATTAGTAAAATTTGTCAAAAATTTAACAATAATTGCAGGTAACAGACGAAAGTGACGTCTCATGTGGTCAACGCGTAATGCATCATTTTTGCAGAAGAGAGTAAAGCGCAAAATTGAAGTAGACGATGTGAAAGTGAGAATTTGTTAGATTCGAAGAAATGCAGCAGGATGTTGCTTGCTTACAGATACGACCGAAAGCATCGACCAAAAACATAACACGAACATATCGATGCCCCCCTCCCCTCCTCCATCTTTTCCCTCATCGAACCAAAAATACTAAATCAATGACAGCACCATTTATCGTACCCTTTTTGCAATTGTTGTTTCGTTGTGAAAACACAAAGTTTCCCCGTTTTGCTAACCAAAAGGGATTACAATAAAAGCTGCAAATGTAGCTTTCCTGCACGCTTCTGGTACAAAATGAACGGATGTTGCACTGCTTTCTATCAGACTGCATCATTTCACCGGATCACTCGACCTTTCTTGCAGTGGCTTGGAAATTACTGAAAGATTCCCTCTATTGCGTCCACCTAATTCATTCTTTAAAACTATGTTCTTTGCCTTTTTATAATACTATTCAGAGGCTACTGGGACTTCACGCGGAAGAAAAACGACCCATATAGCTAGACATGCTGAACGAAGAAACCTACTACTTTAGTTCAAATCATTAGTCTCCAACCCTCATGCTTTACATATAACACAAGCAGAAAAAAAGTATAAAATACACAGTTTCTATGTCTCGCCTTTTCATCATTCTGCAGTATACAAGCCAAACAATTTACTGCCACAGAGATTTTATTCATAATAAAAAATGCACCATTCGAAACAAAAAAAAAGTTTATTGCAGCATAAAAATAATACGGAAAACGAACGAATTAAGCAAACATAGGATTGGTGCTAGCAACCGCATCCAACAATTTCTCGTCCACTACTGCACCATTCTGAAAAGAATAGAATTTCAGAAAGGAAGCAGCAAAAAAGAACTTACAAATCAAACTTGAGGACAACATCAAAAAAAATATGGTCTACTTGTGTAATTCGGAAGTACCAACAAGCCAAAATACAACTGCTGATAAAGAACCATCAACGATCAGGCAACAAAGGATTAAATGGATGGTAAAAAAACTCAAATTATGAAACTTATGCACTAGTATTCCGATATCACAGGATGAATCTTTACCGACTATAACGATCTACTCCCTTATCGGGTTGTTTAAAAACAGTATCCACCATAAATCAGTGCTGTTCTGTGATTGCCACTACGAACAGCACGGCAAGATTACTCGGTAGGTTGGTGAACCTGCCGATATCAAAACCCAGAAAACTTTTCTACTTCAGAGAGTAATCGTGCGTGACAAAGAACTGGACGCAAAAAACATTACTTACGGGGTGATATTGCACTTTTTGGTTTGGAAAGGTATTATTAAAGTCAGCGGATACTGCCGGTATTTGTCTATTCCACATCTCACACTCCATTTTTTCTGGCGAGCATACTGTTCGAATTCCATGTTGGTACGTGCCGTAACTGAAAAAAAAAATTACATTATGTTCATCAGAAACTAATATTCTTTTTGCAGTATAAATGAATTTGTAACATAAAAAATTCAAGTCAAAAAATAATATTCAGTGCCTTGAAAGGAACATTTTTCAAATGGATTTACAACTTACTCTCTGGGTTGTGGCGCTCCATTTCCATTGTTGGAGACAAAGTTTGAAGGAAAGCATGATGGTGCAGCACCATTTATTTGAGAATAACCTTGTGGAGGAGGATATGTACTAGGGGGATAAGGACAACACATAAAGCCGCATTGTGAGTACTGCATACCACAGGTGGATGGATTAAGAGATGGCCTTAAGGGCTGAGACATTGGCATGTTTGGCCCAGAAGTTTGCGGCAACGACACCATCATCGGAGTGTTTATAGAAATATTGGACACTGAAGATGGTGGATCTGTCGGTTGAAGCGGTTGTGGATACATAGGCCGTCGACATGTCCCTTGCATCAGCACTCCATTTTGATTAGCAAAAGTACATGGATAAGGAGCTGGAACTGATGATTGAGAAGAACAAGGTGGTATCAGAGGAGGCATATGGCTACGGGTCATTTTGATTGCTTCATGCTCGTGCATCATCCGATCCCATTCTGTTTTAGCTTTATCATACATTATTTGTTGTTCAAGTGTTCTCATTTTTTCCAGCTTTGCATTACGATCCTGTTCTCTAAAATATGTTAATAAACATAAACATTAGGCATTCAGTGCACCAGGTATGCCGGTGCGATGGATACTACATATCAGTGGCCGATAACAGTTAAAACACAAGTCACCTAGCTAAACTCTCCCACTAAAAAATATACAGAAATCATAATCAATTGGTAAGAGAATCTAATATAAGCAAAAAAACCGAAAAAAAAACTATCATTAAGATCTGTAATGAAGAAACTAACTTTCTTGCAGGTTGATTATTGTCAGTAGACGTACGGCATAATTTTGAAGGAGGCTCAAAAAGCGAATCCTGCGTCATACGTTCCATTTTTCTATAAACACAAGCAAGTTTAATTGAAAAAAATATTTGCTTCAAATTCACAATGAAGTGGAAAATTCTAATAATAATATGAGTTTAGGAATTAGCACCTTAATGGATTGTCGCCAATATCAGTATGATCATCAGGATTTAGTAATTCACCAGAAGGTGTTTCAGAGGGATTACTTGGTGGGTTACCGCCTGACTCTCCGCTTGTCTGAGAAGGTGTTGGAAGCATAGTACTTGATGGGCTGCATACGGAAGGTGTACCACATGATCTCATCGGTGATCCATTCCGATAGTCTTGCTGAAATTTGGGAGTTAAAACCTGAAAAATGTTAATCAGCGCTTTGGTTCATTCTAATGCATACTTTTATTTCATCAAAAAAATTTAAGTTTTTAAGCCAGTGATCATAATGTTGTTTCCAGGTTTTTTTTTTTATAATTACCCTTTTATTGCAAATCCTGTGTAGACCCTTAGTTCAAGATATTGTATCTCATGTAAATAAATATGGCATTACTTCAAAATAAAAACAAAAATCATTTTTAAAAAATTGGAAATATAACACGACAATGTATAAATTTCAGAAAGACTAACCACACTACGTCGTTTTTTCTTCGATATGGGCGCCGCCTGGCAATCGTCTGTGAAATCGCACTTGGAAGTGCTCGGCCGGCAATTCGCTTCATGCCAGGCAATAATCGACTCGTACTTTTTTTGACGCACGCCAATAACTGCATCATTTGCCATCTTCGATGAAAATACATATATTCGCCTTCCTGGCTGAAAAAAAGCATTGTCTTTATTCCAAATAGATATTAACAATGTTATTACATTGTTAACGATGTCCAAAAAGATGAAAGTGGATGATTTTGCGGGTGCAGTGCAAACAAAGTGAAAGAAAAAGTTAAGTAGGGAAATGACTTTAAAAGATAAATAAACAAGTGGAAAGCGAAGAACCATTTCCAATATACCATCAAACTGTCTCCCCCATCCCATATCTCAGAATCACGCAATGACAAAACCAAAATTTACTTTTTGCTGTCGAAAAGGTAATTCGCACTTAGCAGCACATGGTGACTTGATAGAGTCTACAGTAGGAACCTGAATATCTTCGCCGCAATGAGCATAGTGGCTTCCAAATCCAGGCCATGAATTTGCTGATGGATAACTCGGTGATGGTGTCGAGGTTTGCTTCAGTGTGACGGATGATGCTGATGTTGGCTTTTTAATATTATAAAAATCAATGCATTCTTCGCCCAGATCAGTGGTCGTATCCGCTTTCGTTTTGCAGTGCCCAAACGTCGCGAAATCGTGGTTGCGATACTGTGAACCACGTGCAGCACCTCCGTTATCCAGTGGCATTTTAAATACCTGTAAATCAGCATAATTATCTTAATTACCTGAAACATACAATTTCCAAAGACTCAAAAGCTTTAGATAACACAGGAAGAGCACACAATAGGGATAACAGCAAAAGTTTTTATACAGATGCTCGTGTAATTCTGGAAATTTTTTCACTGCCATTAAAGAAATACTTCACGGAGAAGCATGAAATTAATCTTAGTTAATAAAGGAAAGTTATGACGTAAACTTATGTTTCCCATCTCTCTCCTCTTCCTCCCGTTCCATAATTGTGACATCAACATGGAAAAGCCTGGCAAAGTGTGCTTTTAACTAACATTAATTTATGATCAATTAGACCTACACCACAACTCAGAAAGTTAAGTGAAGAAAACTGGCACCCATTTTCACTGTTGGACACGAACACAAAATCGGGACAAAAGAGCAAAAAACAGGGAAAGAGATACTTCTGATGACTGGTTTAACTGCAAACGACCAACTGGACAGAAAGATTCCCAATCGATTACCATGAAATTGCTTTGCATAAATTAGCGGATAAAGTACTAAAATTTTTTGGACTGTGTAATAATTTAGAACTACAAAGCAAAACTGCATAGTTCCATATATTCAGAGTTTATATTTAGTAAAAGTTAATGATAACAATTTAAACTAATTAACTAAAGTCACGGACACAACATTGCCACACCCTCCCCTCTCCCATACCATCCGACGACCACCCCCTTTATAGCAAACCACTTCCGCTCGCATTACATCGTACACTAAATCCCAAACCAACGGGAGGCGCAATGCAAACGCCGAGTCTCTACTCTGTCTTCACATATCGATCGCAATTTGGATTGAACTTTGTGATCGGTAAGACCAGGAAAGTTTTCCTTAAACTATCTCATTAAATCAAAACCTCTTCAGCTTTTCAAATAAAACCGGTTAGATTCAATTATGAAAATGAATTAGTAGTTAATGGAGGAGAAGATATTTTGTATTTTGTGAATTGCGACCATTTTTACCATAATTTGAAGTCCATCTAGAATTTCCGCGATTTACAACAACCAACATTATTCCACTTTATTAAATTTTTCAGGCGAACAAAGTTTACGAGTTAAATTTTTGCTGCACGTTTTCAATGCAAGCATTAAGGTATGCGGGAAGATAGAACTTTTATACTATTCGTTACATTGTGAGAGACATACAAATGTTTTAAAAATAAAATGCAAAGAATCTGCGATTTTCAATAGTCTACATGTTATACTAACCGCAGAATATTCTTGTCTTGATAACTTACCTACTTTAACTTACCTATTCCAGTGCTGAATATGAGAGCCATTTAAGGGGAACTGTTTCTTAGCTCATGCAATCATGCTCCATATTTGATAATAATCAACCATCGACATCTGGGTCAAACAAAATAAACAGTCGGATAATTGACATAATGAGCCTTTTCCAACACGTTTAGTAATAATTTCGCTCGAAATTTCACCACCGCTACCATGAAAAAACTTCCAATCGGAATCCTTTCTTTTCGAATTTCAAACCTTCCGGAAAAAGCCCCGGACTTGAAGCATTGTTGCATAACGCGGCCATTTTGCCTGTAATTAAAGAAATCTAAACAGAGTTGTGAAATTTTAAACTAAAGTCGCCGTGGAACGAGGGGGGACTTTGAAGTTGCTCGTCATCATGATTAGGACAAAAAGGTCATGCGTCCATCATTGTCACAGCCGAAGAGAACATGTTGTGCGAACAGAATTTCCTCAGATTTATTCCGGTGCAATGATGTTTTCATATGTTCTTTATTGTTGTGTTGCCTGATTGCAGTCTGGTTAAAAACGTTTTATGTGATCTCCATCCAGGCCTAGGCGGAATATAGTTGACCGTCTTGATGTCAAATTCGGATGTTTATTTCCGTTCCGGAAATTTTGTCGGATACATCCTGTCAAAGACCGTTATTAAAATCAAAAGGAGGAACTCCTTCCACCGGGAGCTAATAAGAATTCTGTAGAATTGATTGCGTCATTTTCAAATAATTTGGCAAAAGAAATACAATTTTGATGCATCACTGGATTTTGCTTAGCTAAGTTGGACTCAAATTTACTATTGTATATAATTCTTATATGGATTATAGTTGAAGTTAATGTAGTTACGTGTAAAGTTTTCATACTTTCTATTTCATATGTATTGTAGTGGCTGAGTTTCCTTCAGTATTAAAAGTCTTATTATCAATATTTATGTCGTCGTTCATATATTATACAAGTTTCGGCTATTTGTTTCGTTTATAGTTCCTCATTTCTGTTGTATAACGAAGCAACGTTTTGAAATGCAAATTTAGATCACACACTGATACCTAAGTATTTAATTGGTACAGAGTTTATTGTGCAAAATACGAAGTGCAAAACATGACTCAAGTTCGAGCTGTTTATGAATTCGAAGCACAGCCAAACTCTGGAGAGCTGTCTATTTCAGTAAATGAAATTCTTACAGTTGTCAGAGAAGTACGTTTTTTTATGTTCTGTTTTGGAAAAAAAGCCAGTTTTTGAGTTCTGTTTATAAACTTCATAGAACAAAGTTGGTGTACGAATCTCGCAAATTCATTTGATCATGTTTTTAATGGCAGCTAGAAGCATGAAGTTTTAAAGAGATTGTAAAGAGAGCAATTTTATTGTCAATACAAAATTGATCAAAAATTGGCGTTTTTCTTCCTGAAGCAGTGCCAATACTTTGTAAAATTTCTTTACATTTATCTATTTCTTTTGCAGCTATTTTAAGAGCTGTTTCAGGGTATCCAGGGGGGATGGCTAGAAGGTCGCAATGCAAAAGGACAACATGGACTTTTCCCAGAATCCTACGTTGTGAAAATCAATACTTCACCAGCTCTTCCAGAAGTGAATTTTTCTTTCTTTTGGAGTTCCAAGCACCATCCTTTTGCTTGATTCCAATATTCATTTCTGAAATCTCACATGCTTCGTTTGCTTATTCCATTTTCTACTAAATATTCGGTAGTTAACTCGATGGAATAGCACTTTTCTCATAGCTTTACCTTTCACATCGTACTGCATAAATATTTCAAAAACAGGTGGTTTTTTTTTCAAGATAAAATGCTTATCCACTGATGTAGAACTATTATTAAAATGTGAGGACTGAGAAACTTTACTTCTAATCTTTTTCTAGGAAAATTATGGTGCAATATGATTGTTGAAGCTTCTTTTAAAAGTAACGAAAATGAATTATTGTGGTTATTTGCAACTGAATAGGTCTTTTGGATTTCAACGAATATATTTGATTTTGATTTGTAGCAGGAATTTTTTTCGATTAATGAAGCAGTATATGACTGTTATAAAAAAATCCTTAGAGCATGATAATCATGGTGTTTGCAGTTAGTTTTTGCGGAAAAAAATTAGAAAAATAGAGCTATAATAAGATTTTTAGGCAATATTTATATACTTTTTTTTGTTATGTAGCTTCCTTCAGAATAGTTATTCATTTTTATATAGCTTAGGATATAATTTAATGCTCCCTGCCATACTCGTCTTTGCTGTTAAAATAAGCCTTCCCTCTTTATGCATGCGGCATTTTTCAACCTTTTTGCTTCTTCTGATGTATTTTAAGGCAGTTGCTATACAACATCACAATCCTCCAGCCTTTGCTGTTGAAAATAGCTGGGATGCACCCCCAACATCTGCTCATTATCCACGACTGCCTACTTCGTCAAATGAACAGGTTTCTATCTTTGTCTTTCTGTTCCTTCTACATAGCTGTTGATGTTGGATCATGCAGCTGAATACTCCTATACTATTTCATGGTTTTCCAGTTGTTAGAATCATGAATCGTTCGGTCCGATTGGTCTGCATCATGAATATATATAAAAAGAGGTGTACCTTAGACTCACTGTTTCATCAGGCTAAGCTACGTCCATAATGCTGGCAATTACTTCTTACATTCTTCTGTTTAATTAGTCAGTGATTAGTTGATTGATGTTTGTAAAGCAAAATCTGACGAATTGAATGCGATATTTATTTCAGCAGTTGAACGATGTAGCAGCACCTGCAGTGTTTGTACCAGCCTCTCATGACGATGACGATTTTGATGATTGGACTGATGATGACGAAGAACTATCGGTACGTCATGCTTTTAATGTCGTTTTATCAAATAGTTATTGCATGTATTTGCTGTTTTGGATATAGGATGAAGTTTTCTACTACACTGCTTTATGCATGTTCGATTTGCATTTGTTGTTGGTATACTTGAATTTTAGTATGTTACATTGTCATTTCTTACAAATCGTTCTACTGTCGTGTTTCAGAAAGCTACATCTCATTCACGTTTATTGGAATTCATGTCATTCAACTTCCTTATTTTACTTCTAACTTTATAATAATATTTTATAATAATAAAAAATGGTTAATAACTTCTCAGAAATTTATGAATTTATGAATTGATGGTTCAAGATTTTTTGATTGGTTAAGATGAATATCGCTATGAACATTATTTATAAAAATTATTAACCATTTTTTTGTACTTGCAAGCTTTTGTGAGATTAGTGAAAAGATGCTTGAAACCACACTTGTTTGATACTTAGGAGATCCATTTCACCTTCAGTTTCGAGATTTCCAAGCTATTCTCGAATGCTGAGAGGTATGAGCTATAACAAAAATATTTCCCTATAAAATGAAATTTAACGTTTGTCATACAAAAGTAAAATTATATTTCTACTTTTAATTTACACATCAAAATTGAATGCTTACTCATTTTCACTGTTAAGACCTTACTTTTCCCTACAGGAAGTTTATAAATATTCAGATTTCCAACTTTTTTCTAAAGCAATGGTATGTGAAAGTACGAAATGGATTATATGATGCCTTTTTCATTTAGGAAAGTGTATTAAATACAGCGGATAATCCTGAAATGCAAACTTATATATCCAATAATCGAATTACCAAAGGTGATGCAATGGTTAAGCAAGGAACAGTTAGAATGAAGAATATAAATCGGTAAATCATGTTTCCATATGTTCTTCATCATCGTGTTCCTTGATCGACAATAAAAAAATATTAGACATAGCAAGTTTTATTGTCAGTGATACCTTTTGTTTAAAAATAGTAGAATCTATTGATTGTTTATAGATTCTCCAATTTCGTTAAATCAGGCATGGAAGATTACGTTCTACTTGCTTCAAGACTCACATCAAAAACGGAGGAACACCATGAAATAATTGTAAGTTTGTATCATATTTTCCAAAAAATGATCGAGTAGTAGTAAGTTCAGATTATGTCAGTATTAATATTTCTGCACCAGATTTAATATCGGAATTTACTGTTGATGTAATTTTGACGCTCAATTTTTAGCTAACAACGGACGGAGCGGAATGGATTCCGGTTGCGCAGCCTTATTATTGCATCGTCGATAAGCCGAAGAAAGAATCTAAGCTAAAAGGCTTAAAAAGTTTCATTGCATATAGTGTTAAATCCTCCCTCAGCGGTATACAGGTTAATTTTTTTTAAAAATTTTTATCCATTCACTTTCTTTGATTTTCTTTTATTATTTAGTACTCATTGCTGGGACTTTAACTCTGGTTGCTGATACAGAACTTTTCAACATATTGACTGCAGTGTAAAATGCGAAATAACCTCTCATATTATCATTCATTTAGTAGTAGTCGACGACGACAATATCAACTTTCATGAAAAATGTATGATGAGATTAATTTAACCAATATGTATTGTTACTATAGGTGTCACGACGATACAAACATTTCGATTGGCTTCATGAGCGGATGTCAGCCAAGTACATTTTAATACCACTCCCACCATTGCCGGAAAAACAAGTTGCTGGTACGATTATATTAGATGAATACTATATGATTTTGCAGTATATTATGCATATTTGAAGAGAACGATTATTGAGGATAAAAATAAATTTTTTTCAGGTCGATATGAAGAAGATTTTATTGAGCACCGGAAGAACATTCTACAAATTTGGGTTAATAAAGTATGCAGACATCCTGTTCTCAGTAAATCAGACGTATGGATACATTTCGTAACGTGTACGGATGAAAAGAAGTGGAAAAATGGCAAAAGAAAAGCAGAAAAAGATGAATACGTTGGAGGAAATTTTCTTTATTCTGTTACGGTTCCAAACCAGCCACTCGATAGCAGTGATGTGTATGTACTTTTTTTTTTCAAATTTGTTAGTCCTAGGAGGACAGTCTACTTTCTGGTCATCTTGTAAAGCTTTAGCAGACTAGTCTAATAATCAAATAATAATTTGCTGCTTCTGAAATTTTCTATTGATTATACTGCACGTCTGGTTAATGGAAATTTCAGATTTTGGAGGGGATCAGTAAATCATTCTACTAATTATTATTTACGGTGAAATATGTGCTGCTATCAGCTGCTATCAGTAATATAATTGTATTTGTATTGTTTCTCAACTTATTATTCAATTCTCATTTTGATTTAAGTGAGCAGAAAGTGGATAATTTTACTCGTTCGATGCGAAGCTTCGAAGAAAGTGTTCACTTCATGTATAATCGAGTCAGTGAAACTCACAAAAGACTTGGAGGACGTAAGTTTCGTATAGTCGTTGACACTGACACCTAGATTATCATTTTTTTTCAAAATATGAAATTTGGTAGTATAAGTGGCTTCATATTTCTACCAGCAGTTTTGTAGCATATAAAACGAATTGGCAAAAAATGGGAGAAGCGTGTACTGGTCTCTGTCGATCATTTGATGTCAATCCATCATCAAGTTAGCTTTGATTTTTATATTCTATAACTTGTGCACGATTCAAGGGCTCATACGCTTCGATCGATTGAACAGATTTTCGTATTTTTTCATACTTTACGGCTATCACTTTTCCGTGACGAATAGACTTTTCAGTTTGATTGCATGTTTGTGGATTTTGTGCCTAATGGAATTTCTTTAGAAAATGAGAAAGTTATAAGTGCTCTCAAAGAAACTGCAAAAACTCTACATTGGATTGGCGATGAGCATGAGAAATTAGCTAAGAAATCGTTAGACCCCTTATTGGATGCATTGTATTCTTACAAAGGGATGCTTGCCTGCATACCAGATATCGTCAACGTTCATAAGGTGAGTGAAGGCGAAGTTTATTAAATATTTATATATCCTAAGAACTAAAACAAAATATGGTGGTAAATTCATTATATTTTGGAAATCTGATTCTCAAATGGTTCAAAGTGCCAGTTGTCAGACTGATTCATTAAATACGCGAGCTAGTTAAGTTTTTTGCATTAATTCCATGAGAGCACATTAATTCCCTTTATTTATATTGAAGCACCACCTGAAATTACTGATTATTGTCCTGATTTATTCTTGACTCTATATTACTTTCCTTTTTCCATAACATCCAGTCGCACTTCTTTCTCAGTAAAAAGAACGCTGGCATTATTTTCCTATTTCTTTATAACGATTGCTGCAGTCAGCGATATCCAAACTGCGTGAAAATGAAAAGCTTGCAATAGAAGGACGCGTTTCAAGTACAGATATGGAAAAAGTGAAAGAGAAAGTTGATTCTATCAGTTACATGATGCTTGCTGAAATAACATTTCAAAATCATGAACTTGGTGAAGATTTCAAGAACATGATGGCGACATATTTGGAAAGTCAGGGAGAGTTCTATATGAATATTGGCAACCATCTAAATAACCTTGCCCAAAAGTTCAAGTAAGTTTAAGTGGTATATGAAAAGATGTTTCTTTCTGCCCAAATTTTTCAGCAGAAAATTCTCTTTTTCAGTAATTTATATTTATATAGCTGCAAGAAATGTTTTATCTCTTCTTTGCACCATTTCACACCATGTTTTTTCATGTGCAACAACTTCATTGAGACTCGTCGGAATATTGTTGTTGAGTTATTCAATTGCTCTTTTATTTATGCCTTTCAAACGTGTCATATTCCGGGTATTATATCATTTCTTTTTTTGCATGTTTGTGAATTTTCAACTTGTTTTTCTTCTGAATGCCAACATTAATTTTACCATTTCTACTAAATCATTTTTTAAAATTTCGTTTACTGTTCTAACATATAAATTTAGTGTGTTTGGTTTTATGCTACAGAGATATTTCATATCTCTTTCATCATCATCATCATCATCATATCCACGTCATCTAAGGCCTTGATTTCGTTGTATATAACGTACCTTAGTGCTCCAGTCGTCATATTTCATAAAAAGGGGTTAGGTGTTGTCAACCATGTGTTAAATAATATCTGTTTCGAAATTTAAGACTTCCGTCATTACACCGTTTCATTCTTTGTTGGACGGTAGCAAACAGCCATATTTTTTTTGATTAGTTAAGGGGTTTATACTCTTCGATTTTATTGTAATTAACGCACAACGCATGGGAATGGAATTTGTGCTGTAGATTGCATTTTTTCTCATGTAATTATAAGAGTTTATGAGCGGAGAAATCATAACTGTGAAAGTGCCATCTGTTCCACAATCTGTCTGGAGATGCATTTTGCAAAGTACCTATCATTGTTTATGAGCAGTGTATTACATTTGATCAGTGTTCGAAAATTATCTGATCCGTATTTATCGACAGAATAGAATAAAATCTTAGAAGAAAGCTGGATGTTATCGTCGGAAAAGGAAAATGATGGAATAGATGAGCAATGTTTTCAAATTCTTACTGTTTATACTCTTACCTTTCCCATGCAGTAGGAATGAACTGGCATTTAATTGGAATTTATGTCTGTAATATACAGCTCATTAATCGGTTCATTCATGGTAAAGACAGCTTTTATTCTTCATAAGTTTTAATTATTTGCTTACTGTACAAAAAAAAGCATTTCTGCAATAAACTATAAAGCTATTCGCTGAAACTAATTTCGCGTTAATATTCTAAACTCACGATCAGGTTTTTGTGGGTCATTGGACTACAGGGATCTAACTTCTGATTGAATTTTGGAAAGGGACATTAAGATTCCTTTTTAAAATTCAATGAGAACTTAGATTCCTGTGGTGCGATTAAGGAATAAGTGATACTGACTTAGGAAAAAAGATCAAAGTTTCCGGATCAGTGGGTCTGTGAAACATTGATGGATCTCGTCTTTATCTCTTAGATCAGTCAAGTTTTGGTGGCTTACAAACGTGAAAATAATAGATATGCTAACAGTCGTCGTTTCTGATAGGAATTTAATTGGTGGATAACAGTATTAAATTTATAAAATACAGCAAAACTCACTTGAAACTCTTTTTATCAGGAACTGAGTACCTATGGAAGTGAATAATATGGTCAACGCAATACACAGCTACAAGTAGTCCTTGATAAGCGGTGATAGCAGTTAAATTCTTAGAAGTAAGCGCGATATCCTGGATTGGTTCGAAAGTGCGTGGTTCTAAAAGGCGGATTTTCGACTGACCAATGTCATGAATGAAGAGTTGGTTTTTGTCATCGATGCACAATGCTCCCGGTTTTTCGACTGCAGCAATCATACTTCGGTAGCATATGGTAGATTCGCGAATACTGAACAGCCAAATGTAACCTCGTTTTTGTTCTACGACCAAAAGTTCCGTTATCACATCAATCGTAGTCAGTACCTGTAACCGCTCCTACTTGCCATACATGAATAATGCAGAAGAGATTTCACATTTCAGTAGCATTGAAAAATGCAAAGATCGGGACAATTAAGTGAATCCAAAAATTTTATTCGATACTATATAAATAAACAATAAAACTAAAATGGTAAAATACTTGCTTGTATGTTTGAAAACCTTGTTGTTTGTTTATAGCAAAGTTCCGTCCATTGGCCATCGGTTGTAAGCTCATACAGCGCCGAAAACGTATATCCGGTGACGCACAAATAAATATAACCATTTAATGCAACGCACAAATGGTCTGTAGTAACCGTCTCATTCTCTATCCATTTTGGTCCTTCAATCCTCGAAACGAATTCGAGTTCTTCGTCAAATTTCATCAGATTACGCTTCCATATCGTTTTGTTTCCACTTTCATCTTTTACCATTACGGAAACCTACAAAAACTTAATTACACTTTATTATCCGTCCTTGAAATTTTCTAGAATTTATCATAAACAAATGTAATCCATAATACAAGCTTAAGAATTTATAACACATATATCAATTATCATGTTGTGCCACTAATTATCGGGACTGCCAGAACTGAGAAATGATTATTAGAAGTCAACTCTTACTTAATTGGAATTAAAATGCGAATAATGAAATATGGAGGAGATTAGAAAGAAGAATACTTTCAACAACACGCAAGACCGACCATTATTCGTTTGACAAATCAACATTATTGGAAAGAAAAAAAAAGTCATGGGAATCAGAATAAGAATTGAAAGAGATTAGCTATGGAAAAACACAAGATCAGATTTTAAATGAATTTACCAGGATTTTATTATCTGAAGTGTAAATAGCGGATTGTGGCCATTTCCATTCCGAACTACAAACTTTTTTGATAAGCCCATATTGTACAGAGAAAAGCAGTAAACCGTTGTCTTGATCAGTGACAACAATTTTATCGGTGCTCTGAAGAAACGTGACACTGTTCGGCTGTGATAGATTGTTGTTACTAATATGTGAACTGTCCACTCTTTGCCATTCAGTCCTTTAAAAAACTAAATAAAAAACTATCTAAATAATGACCTAATCCAAAATTATAGTGAAGAACTTGAAATCAGTGTGATATCTCATTTTATTTCTTTCCAGAAGTCATCTGAAAGAGATGTGTTGACTTTTGAGGTTTCTATATGGTAAAAACAACACTTACTGAGATAGATTTCTTTCCAATTTGACGCTCTGGTTCATTCCGTTTCTTTCTCGATTTGCACTGTGTTCGATCAGACGTTGTTCGAGCTTCAACAGTCAGTCTAATAACGTTAGAAGCAAGCTAGCAATAAATTATATGAAATTAGATAAAGGTCACAAAAATATCGAGATCAGTTTCTGAGTATGATGAACAATCCCTAAACAGTATTTTGAAACATAAATTCTGTTGTGAACCAAATTTCTAGTGATGTGCATTAAATCTAGCCTCAGTTGGATACGGAAGATTGAATTTGTAAATAATGTGGCTCAATTCACATTTCAATAAACAGTAACAATGATTCCAGTGCACCGGAAGTTTTTTTTTTGCACTAATAACGAAAAGGGTTGATAGGGCGACTATCAAAAAAAAGTACATATTAAGTCAGTGGATTACCGAATATCAGCCCGTATATAAAATAACCTCTTGTTTTGAAATGATAAGTTGTTCATTTTGTTTCGTAACTTCTTCCATTTTTTCAGCGATCTTTCGCCATTCTTGCTGCTCCTCTTCCAATCTAAAGTAAAACAAAAACAAAAAAAATTTTGTGACTAAAACATTCTCATAGTTTTAATTCCTGCAAAAAAGTAGAACTCTATTGGATCAAAAACTTGAAAATAGGCAAAAGTATGTGACGCATTTTTTTGTAAAATCCAAAAAAAAGCCTACCAAATATATATTAATTCGATAATATTTTTCTTACAACAAGAACAAAGCAGCACCTGAGAAGTGTTTCTTTTTGCTGCCCAGTGATTTGTTCAGATCGGTTGCACAGATCACCAATTAGGTCCATTGTTTGTTTCGCATTATCGTGCAATTTTTTCTCATATTCCGTGATATCAAATTCTTCATTGGAAATAGAATTTCCACTCTGCTTGTTATTTTCGTTAAAGAATTCAACGGATACTTTCTTCTCTTTTCCATCAAAGAATTGAACAGCTATCTCGGATGATATATTGCCATCAGCTGCATTTCTAATCTGGAACTTACTTGAAGATGGTCAATTGAACGCAACCACATATGTGAAATGGTATGAAAGTTGAAGATATGACAAAAACAAAAGTGCAGATAGCAACCGTATGATTATCAGTGATAGTTCGATAAAGTAGATTAAAAAAATGAGGCACAGCCACTACTAATTCTTTTAAATAACATCTGTTAATTAATCAAGATTTCAAGAAACGGCTTAGTAACTATCTGCTCCAATATCATCAACTGATATTCATAATCATGTACTCGATTGTTATGACTATTCAGTAATGTAAGAACTTATGTAAGAAATTTGTTCCAATTTTTTTATAGCTTAGACTTTTTCTACCTTGTATTATTTAAAGTGCTAGAATATCCAATTCTCAATACTTTTTATGCACATTTAACACCAGTGAAAAAAAAACTACTCAAAGCTTTGTTTTAGTCATTACAGAAATTACTTCAAGAAAAAATATGTACACCTGCGGCAAACTAGTAGTGGTGGACAGTTGAGATTCAAATCCATCATTTGGAATTTCTTCCTTAATCCATACAATATTGTCATATTCCATCAGGGAGACGTTCAGATTGGGAACAGATCAGATGTGGATGATGCTATACATTTGAGAACAGGTGTTCCAGACATACCTCCAGCCCGCACTACATGATATTAGCTGTTTCTCTGTCTTCTCCATCTTCTTTTTACATTTTTGCTACTTGAAGAAACATAAGAACGAATCATCTCCTTTTGCTGTAATTTTAACCTGAGTCTTCTACGACATCAAGCTTGAATAACTTTGTATTCTAGCCTAAGGTGGAACGCTAGTTATTGTCATAGTAAATAATACCGAGATCAAGTATTGCGCCAGAAGATTGTCACAGCGTCCCAACTTTTTCGATGTAGTCCTTACTACGAGTTTAAGCTGTATTAATACTTACAAACATAAACCCCTCCAGAAGGTTAATATATCACCACGTCTACTGTCCAAAATAACCATTAATATATGAAATTTAATAAACCCTTAACCGCTCAGTTCAATAGGTCAAACTTCATGATCATTATGGCATGCAACTTTGACCCTTTATCTATGACTGTATTATTTTTCAGGAGTCCCTAATATCGAAATACACCAGGTCTCTTTACCATAACTACTCGAGATCAATAGTTTTCCCAAACCTTAGTACTGACAGTGCAATAGAAACATGCACATCTCCCACTTGATATTGTCGATTTTCAGTTAGCTTAGCAAATAAATCTTCTCTTCCTTTTTTTAGGTTCGATGATCCATGGTTTAGCAAAACCTAACACAGAATGCAAATATGTTCGTATATCCTGTCACCAATTCAAAGCATTCAGATATGTTCAACCACTTTATATAACAACCCAAACAGCTAAAATTGTTCTCCCACAACATACTAACATTACATATAGAGTCGCTCTACATAGCAGCTCCTTCTTGCATGGCACTCCTTAAAAAATGTAATTATTAACCGCTGTAATCATTCGTTAATAATTACACACTTTTTTAGTTGAAATTCGCGTCCAATCAATGAACATTAGTTACAAAAGTGTAAAAAATATTCAGAAGGATAAGAATAACCAGACAGTAATTTATAATGTTATGACGGAAAGAATTATATGGAAATTTGTTTGGAAAAGTGCAATAAGTGAACACCTTTCCACATAAATCATTTAAGAAAGCATATCGAGCAATATCTAATCTAAATATTGCGACAACCATCTGAAACCTTCCCCGTATCCTTGACGCCTTAAAACCGAGCACATAAAAATTTCCATTGGTCTTGATGATATATCCATTCGCGAAATTTGTCCCTAAATAATATCTGAATAAATCTAGCGAACTTAACAAATATTAGTTTAAACGTACTACAGAATATATTCAGGAAACCTGGCTCAGTGTTACAGTATATTAAGTTGTAAAAATTTTCCCCGATTAGTAAAGATCAAAAAAAATTTTTTTGGAACCATTAGCTTGAATCAGACAACTTAATCAAACGTAACACAAAATATAGTGAAAAAATTTGACGTGATAAGGATATAAAAAATATATAAAAGGGGTGACGAACAATGAATACTGAAAGTGTACTCTCACACAGTGTCTACTTAAAATAAGCTGCAATCTCTTGTGTTAGAAATAAAACCAATAAATTTGTACGAACGAACTTTTCCAGTGGTCAAATTCGATATTCCCAAGTGCCATTTCAGTTGGTCTTCTCCTAATGCATTTGGTTTATCAATCTTATTTCCGAGAATCAGAAGAGGACAAGAAGCCACTTGCTCATCGCTTAATAAACTTTCGAGCTGAAAGTACAAAAAAGTCAAGGCATTACAGCCGATTCAGAGCATAAAGTGGTTGTTAATGCATCAACTTAACAATTTTTTGCAACGACTTGATTAAACAATACCTCACGCCTACTTTCTGCAATCCGTTCAACATCAGCACAGTCCACTAAAAATACAATAGCGTCTACAGCTGGAAAATAATCTTTCCAAACACGTCGTGCTGAAAATGTTTCATTATTTCAATTCTGTTAGATTCAGTGAGATAAATGCTGCTGATCTCATATAGGCGCTCATATTTAAAATGAGTATATGAATGTTCATCGAAATGCTTCTACATAATAATTGCAATTTATGGCAAGAGGTTACCGTATGACGAACACGAACTTAAGACCAAAGCAGTTTTAAAATGAATTATCTGTGTCATAAAAACTGTATTATAAGTAAAAAAAAATTTCGCCGATTTTTAGATTATATAAGGAAGTTACCAAATTAACCTTGTTCGTGTCCACCAAGATCAAATGTTGTGAAGCGAATACCGCCCAGTGAAAGTTCTTCAGAAGCTAAAAGAGTATCTCATTAATATACTATGAACTGAAAAGTGTTGATGGAACAGGAAAAATAATCAAAACTCAGTATGCATAATGTCTGTGAACTTTAAATTATCGAGCATGAATATCCTGTAAACATTACATCTGAAGGAAATTTTTTCCCTTCTACCCTCTCTTTTTCAATATTTTGCAAGTCTTAGGAGCGTAGATCAGTTCCTTATATCTTAGCGTATTATTTTCACAATGAGCAAAGCGTAATATTTCTCAAATATATGTCAAGATGATGTTAAACACTGAAGTTACATGTGTGTGCAAAAAAATGACCCATTATCAGTAGTACAAAAGCATAGAATGAAAAGATAATTCTGATACTTCACAAGAAACAACTTACTTGGATGAAGCGTTGGAACATGCTGAGCCATACGATCATCTTTCAACATATGAAGAAGTGTCGTTTTGCCAGCATTATCCAGTCCCAAGAACACTAATTTACCATTTTTCTTAGTCAAACCTGTAGACTTATATCAACTAAAACATTAAATTCAAACTAAGGATAGATGTTGCAAACTTGGAAATTATTGCATGTTGTCCAGTTCGAAATATATATATAGGTCATACGTTTTATATAAACGCTGACACAAAAGAAAAATGCACAGTAGGGACATAAATGCTAACACAAAAAAAATGCTCAATAAACTTCGGGGACTTTTCTTGATATCTTTTATTTACAATTCATCCCAATTTCACTGAAGGATCAGGACCACATTATACTTCATACTAGCAGAACAAATGTATAAAATGATGTACTTACCGAGATAATTAAGCATGCCGGACACCCAATCCCACAACCAAGACATTTCGAGAATTCTGTGGTGGTCCCACGACCTTACCGTTTCAGTGCTAAAAAAACACCAGAATTATACCAGCAAAAACAAATATAATCATTAGGACAGAGTTCACGCGTACAGATATCATTAAGCAAACATACTGTAGGAAATATTGCTGTGACTACATATACCGGGTGATCTACCGCGTTACATCTCCCGATCGTTCCTGTGAATTTTCATAATATAAAACGGCTGTGAATATACTAACACTAACAGCAAACCAATAGCTATTCCAAGAAACTCTTCTCAAAAATCTCATCCTTCCAATAATTGCATTGTTGGAATATAATTCATTCATAATATAACTATTAACATTTACTTTGAAAATGTTTCTCGGCGAAACTTATTGATTGTAGCAAACTTTATTTACCAGCAATATAAATCTGACCCTTCAACTCTATTTATCATTTATTAACGTTCCAAACAATCTCGCCAACTCCATGCCATTCACCATCACCTCCTTTCATGAATACTTTGCAACAATCAACACCACAACGACACGTACGACCAATGTGCGTACTATTACTGTCACAACACTTTGAGAGCTCACTCATTATTACAGCTCAATAGTTGTAAGTTTATCATTGTCATATTTAGTGTGGTGGTGGGGGTTTGGCTGTTAAAGCTTTGAAGAGATTAGAATTTCTAAGAAAATATTGATGAAAATAGTGAGCTGAAGGGGAATACATACTGTAAGCTCAATGGTCACTGTTAAAAGCAGATGCTAGAAAACTTTTAGATGGAAAAGGACACGGAAGGCCATGACATCCTGGAGGAGTATAGCGTGGATGTACTGATATTAGAGTACATGTATTGGCAGTTATTTTACAATTGTGCTAATTCGCTAAAATATGCTTTTGCTCTGTTTGAGAATCCTTCACGTAGAATACTGTTGAGGAGGTTGAGATAGCTAAACAAGACATTTTAATAATAGCGAATGGCATATATAAGGTATTATGAATCACATAGAACTAAGAGCAAATACGTTTGAAATTGGAATTATAAGTAGTGTGTAGATTCTTATGTTACTGAGTTAATATGAAGTGAAAATGAGGATGAAATGATTTATATTAATTATTTTGTATTATAACTTGAAAACAAATAGATACTTTTTATTGCAGATTGTACAGTCAGATGAAATTTTCATTTCCTGGCTTCTATTAAGAAGTGATTTGTTGCTGCGAAATGGGTGATAACGTTCCAACATGTTTCAATTGTCAGAATAAGCTGGTTTTGGATGAGAGCGTTTTCGAATGCTTTGAGGATGATCAAAATCCGTTTTTAACTGATGTATCAATTCATCTAATTTGTTTCAATCGGTTTATAACCATTTTTACTATGGTATTGAATACACTGATTTGTCAGAAATTTCACTGTCCTGGGAATGCGAATTCGCTGAATGTAAATGGGTAATACGTGCCGTATTTTTTTCCAGAATGATCCATCGCTTTGCGTTCAGGAAGGTGCTGCAGCGGAAACGACAGGAAATTTATATGATGTAATAAGCAGTTCAAATTCAGCTTTAAAGGGACCCATGTGTGAGGTAACCAATCATACCAAGGTTGTGTTTTATAAAATTGGTTCCTGGCATGTCTGATCTCACCACTGAATGAAATTCAGGATTGTACAGAACAACTGCTGCTGGGGATGGATCAGCATTTAAAAGAATTAGATGAAGAATGTGCACAGTACCGTGAACTGCTTGATTCGCTGAAAGAAGGAGGTGATGCTCGCTTGATGGACAGAAACATCGTAGCTGCAAAACTTGCTGCTATGAAGGTGGCACAAATCTGTTGTTTATTCTGCAGGATCAGATAGTTGTAATTGTATTAGCTTTGAGATTGCTGTAGAACTGTCGTACTTCAAGAATATCTTTTTAGAATAAAGAGAAATTCAAAGTATGTGATTATTTTTATTTTTTACTGTAGAGTGAAGAAGCTTCTTTGTTGGGCGAATCGAAAAAATTGGAAGCTGAAGAAGCCAAATTGGACGCGGAATTGAAAAAAAAGAAGAGTGAATTATATGCTGAGAATGAATCTGCAGAATTGTTGTGGCGAGTATTTCGTGACAATCACAGGTTTTTGCTTCTATTCCTCTAGTTTATAAGAAAATCTTGTTGAGTGCGTATTAGGAGAATATAGAAAGAAGGAAGAGAATGTTGTGTATCACTTTATTATCACTTTACTGGAATTATTTCCTTTGTGTATATCATTTAGTGAAATTATTTCCTTCACCTTTATTTTTTTTGTGCGTTGTTTCATATTTGTCCGTCAACGATATCGACCACTGTTTAAAAAATAATGATGAAATTGAAAATCTTAGACTTCCTTCCACATTTCATCACGTCATGATATACATTTGAGGGCATTCAAGAAGTTTTTCTTCTAACTTCTGGTAAACAAGAAAGGGGAAATTGTGTAAGTCAGGCTATTATTTTGAGGTTTTTGTCTATTTAATCCACGTTCGAACTTATTGTTTTAAAAGTGATGAAGATGCTAATTCTATGGTTTGCCATATGAATAGTTAAGGCAGTTGATCAGAATGGAAATGAAGGAGCAAGATTTAGAAGCTGAAGTGCACTGTTTGAAAAGTCAACGTGACAGACTGTCAAAAATCAACGTGTTAAATACAGCATTTCATATTTGGAAACAAGGAAGTTTCGGTACAATTAATGGTTTTCGTCTTGGTCAACTGCCACATTCGCAGGTTGAATGGAGCGAAATCAATGCTGCGTGGGGACAGGTGGCTTTGCTGATCAATGTAAGTGTTCTTGACGTTTGACATTTTTCCCTGCATGATTATTTTCTGCTAGTTTTTTCTCCTACTTTTGAAAGACTTGAGAACTGGTGTTTCAGACTTTAGCAGATTGTCTAGAAATCCAGTTCACCTTGTATCGTATTGTGCCAGTTGGCAGTCATTCATTTGTCCAGTGCTTGGATACCGGGGCTGAATTACCGCTTTTTGGCAGTGGTGGTTTTAAACCTTTTGGACAAAAGAAATTCGATGAAGGCATTTGTGCTTTTATGGAATGTTTCTGTCAGTTGCAGAGACATATTGAACGTGCGCAGGTGAAAATGTTACACTTTGTATTAATTTATTATTAGCATTACTTGATGTTTTTGTTCCTCAGCATCCTTCTGTCAAATCATCATTTTGAATGTGAGCCAACGTATTTTAGCAATTTCTGCGTAACCATGAAGGGTATGCGGATATAATACCTGTATACCGTTAATGGAAACGTACAAAGCTTCTTATATGTCACTGAATACATTACGCGTTGTAAGATTAGTGGTGATTTAACAAAGAAATCACCAACGAGTGGAAGGAATAATGATAATAAGTGGATAAACTACTGCGAGTCTACCCGCTTATCACTTCTGCTTTATCGCGTCTACTCCTCCAATCGTGTGCCTCATTTGTCTTCATGAGAATAGATGAAAACATATGCAGTTTGATTGAAATCCCTTATATTACAAGTCATTTAAATCTTGAATGGCAAATTAAATTGAACTAGTTTTAGTTTCGATTCCCTCACCGAATGTACAGAGAACATATTGAGGACAACAAAATGGAATATTCTGTTAAAATGCAGTTTAACGCCGAAGAAAGGTGGACAAAAGCGATGAAATGTCTTCTGATCAATTTTCGTTGGGCGATTTCTTATGTTGTACATTCAAAAATATTGCGAACTGAGGTAGTTTTCTCCTAGTGTCCCTTAGTACCATAGATATGTTTGTACCATTTCATCCTAGTTTAGTTGAAATGTTCTTGTTCAGTTTCTTGTTTCCTTACGGTTCGCAGGTGATCTGTTTCATGCAAACAAATACAGAATCTAATATCGAGGATGATAATTGTCGTTTGGAAGAACATTTATCATAGCAACAGTCTTTCGGTAAATAATGGCCTCATCATTTTTAGTGTGCTGTCTGCAGTTTCTTGCTCGTTCTCGTGGTCTTGACTTTTATACAACTTTCATTGTTACAGTACTAATAAACTTAAAACTTTATCATAGAAGCCTCTCTGAGATTTGATCGATCCATATGTGATTTACACTGCGCTGTCACTTCTAGAAAAGCATGATATATAGCTGCCAAAACTGGGAAAAAAGGAGATAAATAATAGAGCTTTGTGCAACTTCAACTTTAATTCAATTAAAAGCAAGAAATATTAAATCCGTTCCACAAATCAGCAGTAAGCCAACCGGTAAAAGTGCGAAGGGTTTTTAGAATCACGATATATCACCGTACTACAGGACCATTCAACATATATTTAACCAAATTGATCACAGCAAATTACGAAACATTCAACCGCCATATGAAATATTTCCATTGTGCAAAGATGTCATAAAACTGTCTGAACTTTCCAAAGGCCGTCGTTCAAATGGTGTAGGTTTTCAATGCCAATACCCTGAAAAACATTAATTTATTGAGATGTTGGGTTAAACGTACGTTCTTTTTTTTTTCATTGCACAAGAAATTAAATTTTACCTTATTCACTGTCAGTATTTCTTCTGCAGACATCTTTGTAAGACCTATCGCCAGTGCATGCTTTTTTCCTTCCGCCATAAGAGCTACCACCTGGAATTCGAAATCATATTTTTTAAGAGCAAGAAACAATTTAGTGTAATATGTAAATATGTTCGGAATGGAAAATTGACGAACTAATGGAACATTAGTATATAGAAGTTTGCCGCATTATGTTGAAATTTACCATCACTCATGTACGCAAAGGGATTGCTCTACTGAAGCATGGAGATGCCATAGGAAAAAAAGCTCTCTTTATGGAGTTTTAAGAAATATACAAGAGATACGTGCAAAGTAATATGCATTCAAAAAGATCGTACACTGTTTTCGGGAACATCTATATTCAACTTGGCACCTGGACTTGTTAAACCACGACACATGATTTGAGATCCATTGAGGACAAACTTGATGGCACCTTTATCGACCTAAAACAGTTAAATAAAAACCAAGTCATAAATCTCAAAAAATGCTATTATTCATCCCAGTACCAATCTTAAAAGCGAACTAGCTGAACTTCGATGCACCAACCAGTGACGTAAGAACGGTAAATCATATAATAAGAAAACAAAGGCAACATCAATTATTTATATTTGCATGAAATCAGTGCTGGTTTCAGTGGTACTTGCGTAACCTATCTCAAATACAATAGAAATATGCCAACAGCTAAGACAAGGAGAACAAAGCTTCCAAAGTTTTAAAGATATTTAAATCATCAACCTTTTCATGAGGCAAAATAAAAGGATACTGATGAAGGAGACGAAGGGTAGGAAAATATGACACATCTCTCGGTTTGATAAACAGTATATTCCCGTCACAATCAGCAATGAGTTCGACATGCTCTGAAAATATATATTACATTAGTAAAACAAGTCATGTTGTCGATGAGTATTTTCTCATGATAAACGATGAGGACCTTCCCAAATCAACCAAAAACATGGTTCAAAATGTGTCTCAAACAAAATCTCAAAATTCATTGTACAAAACTGAAATAAACCTTTGCACTTGATCAGTTTAAAACTGTCTTTTTTAGGTAATATATCGTTAATATAGTCATTTAGCAATGGCAATTGCTCTAGGATTTTTGATCGTATCAATTTCTGAAATAAAACCAAGTGATTCTAAAACTTTCGAGAAAGTCACAGCACATCAATGAATGTAATTCCATAAACACTACCTAAACTTTAGCACTGAGCATTCTATAACGTTGGAGACCGGCTGTCATACATGCAGCATCTAATAAGCTACAACATTCAGAAAACTGACATGTGAAATATACAACATTATTTCGAGATATTCTGAGATTCTACACACTCTTAGATAATAAAGTGAATTGAAAAATTCGATTTGAACCTGAGCTGATGACTTTAACTGCTGAGTACCAATTATGTCTTCTTTCTCGTCGAACTTCCTGAACATTTTATCGGAATATGAACATAGGAAATTAAACTGTTCCTGAATATCCGTTAATTACACTCTGAAGAATGAAACCCATTAAGAACAAAGACTAAAAATATTTGTAATCGAACATACTAACTCGGGATACTGCAGTACAGAACTACAGCAGATATTAATATAAATCAATTGATGTATGCAAATAATCCTATTTGTAAACTCAATAAAGCTATAAAGAAGAATGAACTCAAAAATGTAAAATGGATGGCGAGTAAAGTAATCACGCAAATAAAAACAGGAATTCCATCAGTTAGAAATTTTGTCTACAGCATTTAGAAAAATGACGGTAATTGATGGAAATATTTTTTTTCCTTAAAAAAATTCATGGAAAGTTCAAAACATAGTACATAAACGATGATTATTGCCAAGTATATGTTCAGCATGGAAAAGCATATAACTCTGAATGACACGCATTTCCATCTAAACATAAATTTTTATCAACCTAAAAAAATGAACAACAATATGCACAGAAATGTACGTTAATATATCACTTTTCTTCCGCTTCAGAAATACGCACCCATTCATTCTGGTTTTCCTTCCATAACGAAACCTGCAAGTGGGGCATCTAAAGTATTCCATTATTATCTCAGACATCTAACAGTATTCAGTAGGGGTAACTAAAATCTAATATCTCTTCAAAGGAGATCATGTTTTAACTCTGTTAATTGTAAACAAGGAAAAACTGAAAATGTTTCTCGTCAAAAAATTCAAATTTCAATGATTACCTCATTGTCGCCACCAGATATCGCAAGAACGGTAGCACAGAGAGACCAACTAACATGCCACAAAATGTTATCAAAGACAGCCAGTTCTTGAGCAGACCACTGTCGTTGATCAACATTCGAACAGCGCCAAATTATCGCTTTCCTGTCCTAAAGGGACACAAGCTAATACGTGGAATATTCCAAAATAATACTATTTTATCAAATCTAATCTTTATTAAAAAGATGGAAACAAAGTACCTGTCCACATGAAGCAATTGTATTAACGTTATGAGCAGCTATTGGAGCCCAAGCGACATCACGTACCCAATCAGTGTGTCCTTCTAAAGCAATTTCTAATTCCCACTCCCCATCTTTTCTTTCTCTAAAAATAGACCATATTGACAACTACTTTATAATGCTACGATACTAACCTCCATAATTATTTCATTCCGGCGAAACAAATGTAAATCCTTTTTGCTCTTCGGAAAGGAACATATCAATGTGAAGAATTACTTGGAAAATTCTTTAATCGACGATAACAATGATGATTTGATAATAAAACTTTACGAACCTCCATATTTTCACAAAATTATCATTGCCACCAGAAGCCATTCGTTTATGCATGAGGTGTCCATCACTTTGAACAAGTGAAGTTGAATACACTGCAGGAGCCCAGGATACTGCATTACAACCCTGAAATACATGTGATACTCCATACCCTATACAACTACACGAAGAAAACGAAGCAAGGAACAAATACCATTAAACCATTCCTTATATGTGAATCATGCGATCTCTAAATTCTTTCACTTTGTACATCCATTTTGCAATTTCGTCTGCATTCAACAAATTCGCCACTTGGCTTTCACGAATATCTATATAACATACCGAGCTACTGTTAATATTATAAATAGGTCATTCAAAAATAAACTACACTTTCCTCCTCAAAAAAGATCTGTATAAGTGTATAAGATTCACTGTGTCTGATTCAAAACCTGGAGTATTTACAATACCTGTTCATGGGCTTTAGAAATAAGTTGATGTGTCCAAATTTTTGCCTTGTTGAAACTCAATACGGATACTGAAGTATCAGTAGATGCGCAAGCTAACGTAAGACCAAACTGGTAAGGTGCCCAACTTATTGAATTAACACTTGCATCGTGATGGTTCCATTCATAAATTTTTTGCCATTTTCCAGCAATCTCCTTCCAAATGATAACTCGTCTATAATTTCACACAATTTCAGAGGAAAAAATACAGAAAAAGTAAGCAATAAATTAAATAGTGATGATTCATTAAAACGATAGTCATTATTGAAGTGATCACATGTTACACACACTGGAACGAAAATCCATATGAGCACATAACCGCTGAATTTCATAAATCGTAAACAGTGGCAAAATGAAATTGACGGAATGAAGGTAATTGACATGTTCGGAACAATACGATGTGCACTGAAGTGCGCACTCATATTTCTTTCTTAATTAATTGCTAACATTGTAAACCACAACAGGAATATGCGACTTAGTTTCTTACTTGTCATATGAACATGAGGCTAAAACACTATCGAATTTGGGATGCGCCCAAGAAACTTGCCACACTGGACCAGTATGGCCGTTTAATTCAGCTGAGGGATACGTTTGTCCCGACGGTTTTAACTGAAATAAATTATTTCAAGAAATAGATAAGATCTGTATAGAAAATTAAATATGGTTCGAGTAAGATCAATCATTCCCGCTTGCTAATTTTCTCACTTAGTCAAATATTTTCTTAGCTCCAAAACATCTCTACAACCGATCTTCAAGAACCAACTATTTATGCAAAAAATCACATCAGTACAACGAACCTCAAATATTTTAATCAAATTATCACTGGAGCAAGTAGCAAGCCGAGTACCATAATAATTCATTTGAGCGTCATGCTAGAAAGAAAAGATTTTCTAGGGAAAACAATAAAACTCAAAAGAAATAAATTAGTGAATATATACGGTGATTATTGATGGTAACTTCTTTTCCCATACGTTTCGAACAGTTCAGTTCTTATCCTGTCCACTTACCACATGCTCTATACCAAAGATTAAAGCGAGGAAAAATATAATCTCCCAGTAAAACTCTCAGGTTACGTCTCAACAAGATCAAAAAGTAATTCCTCAAAAGTTCAAGCATAGCGGCTAACTGGGTAAAAAATCCTACTGGAAGGTCAAAACGGTTCATATAACTTCTGGATTATTTATTGGATTACCGTAATAGCGAATGCTGTGTACTGCTATTCGTAAAGAATAGCATTAAAGACCTAATTAACTAGTCATGATGTATTAAGCCCTTCTACATAGACATAATGACAAAGCAAAACGTGTGCACATTGAACTTACAATAGTAAGGCGATGGGCTGTATCAAGTTTTGATACGATTGTAACCTGAAATAAATGCAAGTTAAAACAATGAGCCATATCAGTAATACAAAAATAACTTCTACCGAAATATTATCAGTAAGTGATCATAAAATACAATCTCTGCTGCAATTCTATATGTGACTAAATAAAATAGTTAATACTAACCATAATTTTTCGATCGCCTGTTGTTGAGAGCAAAATAAGTGCTAAACAAATATGCCAACCTGTAAAGAAATTCTTTGTGTAAAATGGAATACAACAGAGAAAACTCAATAATTTTATCCTACCTAATCAAATTCTGAAGCAAATCCAAACAGTATAACTCATTCACCACCATTTACCGAAATAGTTGATAATCCCTATTTGAGCAATTGATGTGTTGGCATGGGCCTATTCCACAATGAGTTGTCTTTAATCTTTAAGAGAAGGGCCCCCGAAGGGACGGAGCCATCGTAGTTCCAGCTTCCCATGCTTTATGGTCAATTATAATGATGGATGATTTCAAAGGTCATGTATTATATGCATATCTGCAATTACTCCGTATTTCTATTCAAAATTCTTAAATAAAAACATTCGCAGACGCTAAATCTAGTTTACTGTTTCATTATGCCGCACCTTGGAAAGCATTTTTTTAGAAAGTTGTTGGATTGTTTAAAAAATAAGCTTGACAGATTGATTGACAGTTCATCCAAGGCTAAATAAGTCTTTGTCATAATGACATTATTCGAGATGCGATATGATCCGATATGACTTGAAAGAAAATATATAATAACGATAACAAATAGTGGGATAATTGTTGCTGGCTTAAACTATTGTAGATGAGCTGTGAAGTGGTGGGAAAAAAAAACCATTCTGCGCCATTAGATTTGGTGCATTGAAATCATTTATGGAGAACGGACCTCCAATTTTTTTCTACTACTTGAATTTGTAATAGGTTATTTGTCATAGCAATAAATGAAATTGTGGATGACAGATTTATTGTCTTACTATCTTATTGAAGAAGTTTTGAAAGATAGTGAATAAAGATAAGTTGTTAGGGAAATGTTATGGTTAATATAAAATAGGATCTTTATTCAATCGAAATATTTTTGACTGAAGCAAGTATCTATACCCACGGATTAGTCATAATAGATATAATATCGCTGTAAGAAGAGGACAAGGTGATTGCTGCTTACGTCGATACAAATACCAGTGGTACCGCTGGCAATGTTCGATCATGCCGCTCGGACCATAGTTAAAAAAATGGGACAAAGAAGTTATTTATTTTATTTCAGCGATGACACAAGAAGCCAGTGGTAAAGAAGAGAATTGGAAACTCATAAATTCTGTGCAGGTGCCACCTCTCCGTAATTTTCGCGAATTCCTTGGTGACATGTCGAGATTTGAAGTTAGTTCTCATCTTTGTTCATTAGAAGCCTGTGCTATCGTTTGTTGAGAAAGATCGCTAGGTTGCTCTTTTTTTCCTTTCTTCGGAAGTTAATTAACTAGTAATATGTCCTGTTGCTAGCATGTCTGCTTATTAATCTTTTTTGGTCAAAGCTAAGTCTAGTAAGCCATAGTATGTCAAGTGTAATAGCAAATTATAATGAAGTATGTTTGAGCTAAAACGATGTTCTCCAGTATTCCATTTCGAGGCTTCGCTACTTTGATCTTTACCGTCCGTCGCCTCATGCCACTTCGTTGCTCTTCATCTTATCTCGTTATTTTTCCAACTCGTCACAGCTAAAATACACTCATTTTTGTTGTGAAACCTTTCCTTCTATAAACACATTTTTATTCCACGCAAAATCCGTGATAGTGATTTGATTGCAGATTCCACCATTTCGTGATTTGGCAAAATGGAATAATCGTATGCTGAGCAATTTGTTATATTATCAAACAAATTATTTTGCTTTTATGATACTTATCATATTGATTTGTGCATCAATACAATTACGTGACGTTCTTATTGGATTGCTTGCTATCATATCTGTGGCTGCTGTACTCATATTTTCGCTTTCGTCCAATCCTAAGATCGTACAGGTAGGCAGGCTACTTCTGTTTATTCTGTAAGGGTGGGTTAGGCAGCTAGTATTTGCAGTAAAGAAACCAGTAAAAAAGCTTGTACCTTTTTTGAATTTGTTTCTGTCTTAAATATGCAGATTTTTTTAATATTGGTTTGTTTCCACTTACGTTTCGGTTAGTTTTCTAATTTTTAAGCATATAAATTTGGCGAAATATGAACTTTCTGGCGATTAATGACGATAAATGATAACATTAGAAATCGTAGTTTTTTTTTTCAGGCACGTCACGACCACACATTCATTACGTTAACTGCTATGTTGCTGTCATTTTATTTTTTTGTTTATGCTATAGTTCCAGTGGTGACAGTACTTTTTACATTCTCACTTCCGCTGTTGTTAGTTTTGGTGCATGCATCAACTCGGCTTAGAAGCCTTAAAGTTAAGATCAATCATCAACTGGAAAGAGTGGGTTTGAAACATACAGCTATGGCCTATTTGCTAGAGCGATCCGGTATAGAATTGAAAATATGAAGGTCTTTGTTTTTTTAAAAAAATATGAAATTTTTCAGTTGGGATTTACGGGTTTTTTCCTCATAAGTTGTCATTTTATCCTTTTTTTGCTGTTGTTAACCAAATTTTTTCATATGATATTTGTTTTAAATTCAAATTTCTTGCTCTTCCATTTGCACACAGCTATTATTAAATTCTAGGTTTCTCTAGGTCATTTGCAAGATATTGTCACAAAACTTTGTTTTCTAAATAGAACCTTTTGTTGTTAACATTTCTGCATTGTTCAACTCAATTTATTTTATTTTTGAGGCTTATTAGGTAGTTTTTTGTACCATAGCGAATACAAAGCACTGGAATGG